TCTGAATGCACGTGACTCCCAGAGTCCGGGAGCTGCGTGCTCTTGGCTTAAGATTGCCATGCCCGGCTTGAGAGGAGAGATCAAGGATGACTCCACGCTTAGATTGATAAGGATGCCTGCAGGTCCACATGCGCGTGCTCGCAAATGCAGACACCTGAGCCCCTTGGCGCCTTGGTTCTGTAGAGCGGGTTGTGCATTCCAGCCTGAGTGTGGGGACGTTCCCATCTGTAGACACACGCGTGATGGTATCCCCACAACATCACGAATGGTGCTAGTTCACTTGGGAGACCATTTCTTCCTTCTGGATGTTCCCAGGTGACTGATGTCAGCTCGGTGTAGCCGTGTGTGTGGAGACTTCTCTTGAAGGTGGCTGCTGTAAGAACAGAGTTTCATGAATTTGTGGCTTCTGGAGGCATGGTCCAGATGCCTGCAATATGGAGGAGTTTGCAGTATGCCATGGCAAATGCAAAGAATGGCAGAAGAGTTTTGTGATAGACGCGTAGGCATGAGGGTCTTCCAGTTTCTTCTTGGCTGTGGGTGGCGTGGACAGGGCCATTGTGTTCATGTGTGGGGTGAGCCTGGAAGGGTAGTGGGAGGTTAGAGGAGGTTAGAGGAGGCCTTCCTGGAGGCAGGGGTTGGCAGAAGAGAGTCAGGCTCTGGGTGAGCAGCATTGGAGGACACGGGGAGGCCCAGAGTTTGCAGAAACCTGGAAAAGTGTGCATGGGCTTATCTCTGGTACGCTGATGGCCTCTCCAGTAAGGGGTTGTCCCAGTTAGCAGAGGGCACCAGTAAAGGGAGCTGTGGGAGCTGGGGTGGCCACTGGAATTCAATCAGGCGGTAGTAGGCACAGAGACTTCATTACTCGGTGCAAGGACATGACTCCCAGAGGGATTTCCCACTCTGTCCTTCACTACATCATTAAAGGAGTGGTGTCAGGTTCAGGTGTCAGGTTCGCTCAGCCAGCTCTCGGGGCTGAGATCTGAAAGGCCAGTTCTGATCCAGACTAGGTAGTCTGAAGGAATGAGGAGAGCCCACCCACTCCTTGACGAAGCATCAGGTGGGAAAGCCCACTTTTTAAGTTAAGGTGAAGACACACAGAAGCATTTAAATCAGCACCAAGCCGGCAAGACATCTCCCCAAGTGAAGGTAGGGACGTCATACTCAAGTTCAGGGGAGAGACCGTATTCGTGAAAAAAGTTACTATGGGATGAATGGAAGGACTTTAGAAAAGATCCGAGGAGTGCTTTTAATAAAATTCGTGGAAGTAGAGATTTGTTGATACAAATAGAGCTGCTAGGACAGATGGAGTTGAAAGGGGTCTGGCTGTGAGCTGAGGAAATGTTAGCAGTTAATAACAATTATGAAAAATTAAACTTTTTAGAGACCCCATTATGTGCAATCCGCCCTGCAGACTGTGAGAGTCATTGTTATGGAAAATGTCAGATGCTTCCAGGTACCTGAGCATAAGTTTATAGAGTAGGAAGCTTTAAAACAGAGGTGGGCCTGCTCCAAAGCTGAGAGCAAATGAAACCAGCTTGGAAACAAGATTGTATTTGAAGAAAATTTCCCAAAGTGAAGAAACACCAGGAAATGTGGGTATCACCAAACGTGAGAAAAGCAAATAAAGACCCCAAACGTAGATGTCTACGTATCGATGACTTTTTAAAGTTGCAGTGATGATTTCTGGGTTTGTCCAAGAAGCCATTTGGCCAAACTTATCGGTCATTGACAACATGGTCGGAAGTGATTCTCAAGCACACAGGTGGTTCGGGGCTTTGCTACTAAAAAAGAAAAAAAAAATTATCTGCTGGCTGAATGTTGTATCAGAAAGCACAACTTAATGAGAAAGCTCTTTCTGGAAGGATAAGGAGGCAAGTAAAAACCTAGTATTGAGGGTAAATAACCATTGTAAATACATTTATGAAACTATGCACATTTAAAAGGGACCCATGTTATCTGATATATATTTTTAATATATTTATATATATAATTTACATATATTTATATTTATGTATAAAATATATTATTTGTATATATATTATATATATAATTTATATATTTTTTAAAATTCCAGTTAGTTAACATACAGCATAATATTAGTTTCAGGTACACAATATAGTGATTCAACACTTCCATACATCACTTGGTGCTCATCACAACAAATGCCCCCCCTTCATCCCCATCACCTACTTAACCCATCCCCCACTCACCTCCTCTATCTGGTATATTTATTTAATAAACGATGGACAGAGTTATTGGATCACATGTAGAAGAAAGGAAAAGCAGAAACAATCATATGGTTTTCTAAGTATAAGAATCTGGGCAAGGGACACTACATAATAAAGAGGAGAATTCACATTTCAGATACACTGCTCAAGATCCTTTATGTGCCAACAATCACCATATGAAGCATATTAAAAAACCCAACCTGATACCCAGGCAAATGCAAAGAATGGTAGAGGGAGAGTCTTTTTATATAGTTTTTCTAGTGTTTAACTCACAAATAAGACACGTGAGTAAATTGATCTAATGAATAGTGCATAAGGGATCTCTTAAATGTTATGCATTATGTAAACAGTGATCTTTAGTCTCATCAGCCATAGACCACTTAGAAAAATTGATTTTAATACTCATGGTACATGGAGGCATTTAATGTGACACTTGGAGCAGAAATTGAATGTTATAGTCTTTGACTATAATGTAATAAAAGTAGGCATTAATAGCAAAACGAATTTAAAAACCACATTACCCTTGGACATTTTAAATTAGAAATTCCTAAACATTTCATAAGCGAACAAATCAAAGACTGAATTCTAAGGTGCTTAAAAAAATATTAGCAATATGAATACTACCTATACAAGCCAAACGGGAAAGCTGAAGTCATGCCAGAGAAAAACATTAAAATCAGTGAAGAAATAAATTATCAAGTTCAAAAAAATTTTATATTAAAACAAACAAACAAAAAATACAGAAGGCAAACAATACAAAAATTAAAATCAGTGAAGAAATGATCCAGTTGGAAAAAAATTAAGAACAAAAAACAAAAAATACATAAGGAAAGAAGAAAGAGATCCGTAAAAACTAAAAACTGGGAACAGGAAAAAAATCCAAGTGTTGGATTATTTAAAAGTAAATTAAGATGACAGAAAACATAAGTATCCAAAGTAAAAGTGAAAAAGTAGTCATTTGCGTGCAATTTCAATTTTAAAAGCAAATAGGACACAGAGCACTTTGCTGGTAATATTGACGAAATACTTGATCCTTGTAGGGAAATTCAGATGACCCCACACTGATACTAGAAAGCGTAGAAAACACTGCTCAGTACTCTGGGGTGGAAAATAGAGAATGTTATCAAAAGCTTATCTGGTAGAAGGTTCTGAGCCTGGGCAGTTAAAAGGACGTTTTGTTATGTTGGTCACAATGAATGAATTTCCATGTGATAGGAGTGATCTCAGAGACAAGGAAAAAAAATGAATGTCTTCATTTATTTTAAGAAACTGTCCTAATCTTGATACCCAAACTTGATTTACAGGTTTGGTTGTGTTTGACATATAGACGAGAAAAGCCGCCAAATACACAACAGCAGCAAGACCACTCGAGGTGTATTGTAGAGAAATGAATGGTACCCTAAGGAAGACAGTTCATGGCCTCCATGTAATTCAGCCCATCCATCTATCAGAGAAAGGCAATGATATGGTCCTTTGACTATAAAGCTAAATGTGTACCAAGATGAATCCGGGTAGATTATGAGTGTAAAGGTAAAATTTTTAAAGCATAGAGACATCTTAGAAGTCAATAGATCAGGATGTCTCAGCCTGGGCACTGTTAACATCTGGGGCTGGATGATTCTCTGAGTTGGAGTGTCCCTGGTCTCCACCCACCATCTGCTGGTAGGATCACCACCCACAACCCTCCCCGAAGTTGGGATAAGGAAAAATGTCTTCAAACACTGACATGGATGGATGTTTCATTCGTCTGAATGTGGGGAAAACCATCTTAAATGAAAGCAGAGGAGGATACCGGGACCTGTATAGGCCAGAAATACTATGTGTAAAAGTAAAAGATCGAACAAATAAACTAAGGAACACATTTACAAAAGCTTTAATGGGGAGGAGGCTTGTTGTCTATATAATATTCAAAAAAGTCTTACAACCAGACTTCACAAATGGACAGATGAATCTCACAATGGTGGAGGGTATGAACCATTATTACATCTATGGGGGATATTTATGACCAGCTAGGTTGGCAACTGTCTTTGTAAATGTTGGTGTTTTGGGGGGGCAGACCTTCATCTTTGATATCAAATGACATCATTAGACTAGAGGCAAATTGGCTGTAACCCATTTTCTCAAAAGTGTTTCAACTTAGTGTGTACAGTGTATTTCCTCTTGCCAAAGTTGAGCTCTTCGCCCCCAGAGAGAAACACATTCCCCTATGTCCAGACCCCTGCTCTTCAGAGTCAGACCAGAGGCTCCAGCAGCCGCAGAGCTGGGAATGCTGACCCTGAGGTAGACACATGTCCCTGGGTGTGTCGTTTGGGACCAAGACAGGAAACATGGGGTCTTTCTTGGTTGCCTACTGGCCCATCAGTCCCCCTAGTGATTGGGGGCAGCCATATTTTTTCATAGAACTGTCCTAATAAAGCCAAAAGGACCCCACAAGAACACACCATTCTGTCCTCCATTCCTGTCTCCTCAGGGTCAGTAAAAACTGTCGACACTGACTCTCTTCAGTCTCCTAGTCCACTCAGGATGAACTGTAAAATATTCAGAAACATCCAGGAATCCTGGGAAGGTTCGGTATTCCAGAATGATGTAGCTTTTATAGGACCCATTACATACTTTGCAGTCAATGGGAGAGCTGAGGAACAGTGCCCTATGGTCCACTGACAAACAGTGACAGGTGACCAAAAGTGACCAAGGGTGTGGGTATGAGGACCACCACTCTGCTCTTCCAGGCTGTGTGGTCCAAGTGCAGAGTGGGGTAATCATTCTGCAGAAAGCTTCAAATTGTAGTCTTGAAACTTCATTCCAAGCCCAGGCACTTATTTTGAGAAAACAGGCAGAGCTGAACAAAGGGATTTAAGGACATACATCACAGTCTATTTGTAGCAACATGGAGTGATATTTCTTTTGCCCTCCACCCCCCTGCTCCCGGATCTTTATACAACCCTAAGGATGCCATAAATTCCATAAATAACTGGGTTAAAAGCAAGGGAAACTTGGTGATGAGAGAGTACACTCTCAGAGATGTAGGTACTTTTAATACCGTTCGATGAAAAAGCACCAAAAAATGTAAGGTACAAGCCGGTACAGGATATAACAGATAGACTCTGGAAGCATAAACATCTCCCTCATACTGGAAGTTTCAAAAGGAGCAAAAGAGAGAACGGATTGTAGGAAATAACTCCTCTCCTATTTCAGCTCTGAGAATGCCCCGTTGAGTGTGGAGCAGAACGAACCAACGCAAATGTCGATACCGAGGGGTGGCATCACAGAGCATCAAGAACAGAGAAAGGTGCTAAAAGCATTTCAGCATCAGTCAGGTTGAGATAGCTGATGTCTAAAATTTTCTGGAGCAAAGCAATTTCATGTGTCTACAAAAGTATAGTTGATGTAGAGTATTACATTAGTTTCAAGTGTACAGCACGGGATTCGACATTCTGTGCATTACAGAATGCTCATCACAATAAGTATGGTCACTGTAGAAAATTATGACAATATTATTGACTACATTCCCTATACTGTACTCTTCATTTTGTGACATATTTACTTTATAATGGGAAGTTTGTACCTCTTAATCCCTGTCACCTGTTTCACCCTTCCCCCCCACCATCCTCCCATGGTGGGGCAAAAGTAATTTTGGAATGAGATTTCTGTATTCAACCAAATCAGTGCAATTCGAAAGCAAATTAAAGATATTCCAAATACATAAAAGCTTGAAAATTTTACCCTTCAAAGATGTTTGAGAACAAAATTACTTGAGGATATACTCAAGCAAAGTGAAATGCGAATCCAAGGAAGAAAAACTTGCAATAAAGAAGTAGCACTAAGCAAATAAATGAGTGAAACTCAAAGTTAATTGTAAATGTGTTGAGGCATAATTATGAAAATAATCTCGGATTTATACTCCACACAGAGGTGAATGAGGGGGGCAGAGGGGAGGGGCAGAAGTGAACATAGGCTGATATTCCTGTCTTGTCTGGGGTGAAGATACAGATGCTGACTGTTTTTACATTCAGTAGAAGATATAAGTTTAAATATGTGTGTCGAAAGTTGAGGATGGTAACTATCAGAAGACTAGAAAGGATATGTACAACTTCCCAAGTATTAATGGAAAATGCATGGAATGGGAAAAAAAATCTAACCCATGCAGTGGAAGGTGGGAAAGGATTACAAAGAAGAAGAAAGTCTGATACATGTTAAAAAAAAAAAGAAAAGAAAAAATAATACTGCAGGACTCCACTCGAATATATCAATGATCATACTAAAGGTGAATGGGTTAGGGCGCCTGGGTGGCTCAGTTGGTTGAGCGACTGCCTTCAGCTCAGGTCATGATCCTGGAGTCCCGGATTGAGTCCCACGTCAGGCTCCCTGCTCGGCGGGGAGCCTGCTTCTCCCTCTGACCCTCCCCCCTCTCATGTGCGCTCTCTCTCTCATTCTCTCTCTCAAATAAATAAATAAATAAAATCTTTAAAGGTGAATGGGTTAAAAAACCCATTTAAAGGAGAGAGAATTTTGTCATAGGAAAATAAACGTAAAATCCAGCCATATCCTGGATGTGTACAGGAGGCACTTTCAATAGCAACACAAAATGTTGAAAATAAAGGATGCCTTTGATACATGATTCTGTTCCCATCCGGGATCCCATGTTTCGTTAGAGATGTCTGCCCTTGTAACTTCCCATCTATGACATTTTCTCCTTCTTTTCTTATGTGTCATGATCTTGACATTTTCGGTGAGTACTGGTCATTTGTTTTATAGAATTCTTTGGGCTTGCATTTGTCCAATATTTTCTCATTAGTAGACTGAGGTTATGTATTTCTGGCAAAAAAAAAAAAAAAGTCCTCAGGAGTGATGTACCTTTTCCAGGGCGCCCTATCAGGGAGTATGTGATGTTGCTGTGACCTGTTACTGGTGATATTAAACCTTGATCATATGGATAAGGTATTATCTGTGGGGTTATGATTTTTGTCTTTGTAATTGATAGGTATCTTGGAGAAGATACTTTCAGCCTATGAAAACATGCTATTTCTTCTCAAAACATTTACACATTGATTTTAGCCTCCACCGGTGAACCTTGTCAGCAATAATTATTACTGTCATGTTAGCCTAATGGTGATTTTCTATTTCCCTCGTTCCTAATGCATTTAGTATTTGGAATTCTTCTATAAGGAATTGCTGCTCCTTCTTCCCCATTTACTTATTTATTCAATTATGATATTAGTATGGACCCATGAATATTCATTTTATACTTTAGGTTTGTTATTTGTTTTCTTGTTCAAATCCTGATTGGCTCCCTGTATCCTTTTGACATGACCCTATCTTTTTTCTGGCTCTTCCTTAATTTTTTGTCATCCCAAGATATTCCAACCTCTGATGAAGTAGAATTTAATCAAAAAAATTTAATGGAATAGAGGAAAATTTCATTTTGATAAAAAGTACAGTCTTCCAAAATTTGAGTCTTGAACTTGTATGCAATTAACAATGGAGGTTTTGAATACATAAGATAAAAATGAATAGAGATCGTAGTGGACATCTGTCAACTTGTACCTCCTCAGCATTCATTCCCATGGCCCATGCATTTTTCAAAGAGAAGTACCTTCTTATGGGATGACTGGAATCAGTCTACCTAAGACAATTGTGTACAGTTGTTAAGATTTTCAAGTTTGCATAAGGTTTAAGCATGAATGTGGAAAGTATGCAAAGCTCCATGGGAAAAATGAAACCTGAACATGAAGATTGATGGGGTTTTGGATCCATGCTTCATGTGTGTGAGTCACAAAGGGGTGTCATCTTGAAGGGATAGCATGTCCTGTGTTGAATGTTCCCTTGCTCTCCTAGTGCCTGGCATGTGTCTTTTCCAGGGTTATCCTCATGAAGGTGTTTGATGAGGTAATTGAGGTGAACCTGATCGACAGTGCAGACTACATCCACCTGGCCTTCCTGAAGAGGCCTGAGCTTGGGGTCACCCTCACCAAGCTTCACTGTTGGACCCTCACCCATTATAGCAAGTGTGTCTTCCTAGATGCAGATACTCTGGTGAGTACCGGGGGAAAATGAGGACCAGACCCTCCACTTGATAAGGAACCCCTCAGAGACAATGCCTTTCCCTTTTTAAGGAGGCTGCTAGTTCTTACAGGTGGATTCCCAGCAAATAACATGCATCTCTATCACCAGCATTGACATTCATCAAAATCAGGTATAACACAGCACTAGCATTGCTCTAACCCTGCCCAGGACACTAAAGGACTTGAAGGCATGCTCCTTCCCTAGGAGGGCTTCATATTCACATAATTTCATCTACACAAAATAGAATAATTAGAAAAAATATTTTACCTTGATTGCATCTTGAATTGCGTAGTTCGGACTGGACTGGTACACCTGGCTTCTTAGGCTGTGGCATCCTCCGCTTGTCGTTTGGGGTAGTGACCTGCAGTGTAGGAGCCTATGATGGCTACTTTCAAAAACAGCCATTGGGAAGTTGAAATGTAAAATGAAGCTGGGGTGTTGGCGTCCATTCTAGTTTGTCTCGGTTGTGCGAAAGCAGCTCTATAGGAAGATGAACAGGTGCAGAGGAAAATAAGACTGATAACACAGTCAGAGTCATGTTTCCTTTTTTTTTTTTTCAAACACAGCACAATTTAGAAAGGCAGTGGGTGTTGGAGGGGTCTGTAATCAGTAGTCAAGTTCTGGAAAGCAACTGATAACATTATAGTGACTTGCAAAGCTCTCCTTTCATGTGTTTTCAGAGTTTTGTTGGTCACATTTGGTAGATTAAAGAGCATACACAGTCAGGCGAGTTCCATAGAGGATTTTAAGAACCTTTAGAAAATAATTTAGTTTCAGAAGTGGTGTTATGTCAATCACTTGAAATAAACTGGAGAGCAATCTTATACACTTTTCTCTTTTGGATGTAAGCCGAATAGAAGAGTCAGTCCAAAAAATGGGGCACCTGGGTGGCCCAGTCTGTTAAGCGTCTGCCTTCGGCTCAGGTCATGATCTCAGGGTCCTGGGATCAAGTCCCACATCAAGCTCCTTGTTCAGTGGGGAGCCTGCTTCTCCCTCTCGCGCTCTCTGCTTGTGCTCTCCCTGTGTCAAATAAATACATAAAATCTTTAAAAAAAAAAAAAAGAAAAAGAAAAAAATGGGCACAGGTTTCCAAACACTAGACTTTGTCTGACCATCCTGACGTTTCTGCTGCATTTGTCACCTGCATCCCAGAGGCAAGAGAAGTCTTGCTACAGGTTCTCCATGCTCTGCTTTGCCAGGTGCTATCCAATATCGATGAGCTGTTTGATAGGACAGAGTTTTCTGCAGCCCCCGATCCCGGATGGCCGGACTGCTTCAATAGTGGCGTATTTGTCTTCCAACCATCACTGGAGACCCATGGCCTCTTGCTGCAGCATGCCACCGACCACGGCAGCTTTGATGGTGAGTGATGGGAAGCTGGAAATGGATGGAAGAGCATGGGGCTGTTTCCGGGACCATACCCCTGCCTCATCCTCATTTCCCTCAGATATGTGAATGACATGAGTCAGTTAAAGATGTGGTGGAAGGCTACAGCCAGACAGGGTGATAGGAATAAGTGAAGTTAGTAAGTAAACATGCAACAGAGAAAACCACTGAAGAAAATGTCCTCAGTGAGTAGGAAGAACGGTTCCCCAATCCTGATCATACAGAATTGGGTAGGCAAACCTTTCTCTAAAGACCAGTTAATAGATTTTCTTTCAGCGTCATAAGTCATATGATCTCTGCTGCAAATATTTAACCCTGCAGGTGTAGAGTGAAAGCAGCCATTGATAAGACTTACATGAGCATGGCTGTGCTCCAATAAAACCTTATTTACAAAAATGGATGCAAGCCTCAGTCAGCCAGCCCCTGATAGAAAATAAAGGGAACAACTCAAGTAAGCAAGAGAAGCTGATGTTTCACTTGAATGGGCATCAATAGATGGGGAAAATGCTAGGATTGTTGTCATATAAAAGAAAGTAGTAGACTGATGAAGAATCATCTCTGGGTGAGGACAAGGAGTTGCCCACAAAGCACTGTGGCTAATGGATAGAATTCATTGCGGGAGGAGTGGAGAATTTTGGGGACAGTACGAGGGTTTATTATCAATGGTTTGGGTTATGGGTGGAGAGTTTTGGAGAAAATATGCACTGTTAAAATTAATGGTATGGATGATCAGTCCTTTTTGAGACAAACGGTCATATTGTAGTGGGCAGAGAAAAGAAAGGTAATGGGACCCCGCGTGCAAGTGTGTATGTTAAGCCCTTCAAACACATCTTGAATTCTTCGAAGCGCTGTGCCATCTGTGATTAACCTCCTTGGGTGTGTGTTCGCCATTTAGGGGCAGATCAAGGCTTATTGAATAGCTTCTTCAGTAGCTGGTCAACGGCAGATATCCACAAGCACTTACCATTCATCTATAACTTGAGCAGTAACAATGCATACACCTACAGCCCTGCTTTCAAACGGTAAGTTCTCCACTTTCTAGATCCTTCTACGCCTTCCAGCAGCCCTGTCTCTAGAATTTTTATCAGTTTTTGGCATTTGGAGAGAAAAAAACTAGATCATCCCTCTGTTTGCCTACTGCTTTAAATTATAGGTAGTCAAAGCAGCAAGTCTTAATGATAGTGGTTCCCAAAGGGTGATCTAAGGAACCCCTGAGGGATTCCCCCACAGTTCTTTTGAATGTCTGCAGTCAAAACGACTTAAAAAATAATACTTTTAAGATGTTACTTTTTCTTCTCATTTGTTTTTTTAAGTGTACGAGGTGGATTTTACAGAAACTACATGACATGATTACACAATACACTAAAAAAACAAAACAATGCACTGAATGGAGACACAGATATAAGAAAGCAGCTGTCTCCTCTTGAAATGGTCAAAGTCATTCTTTTGACAGTTGTATTTTGAAAATACATTTATTTTTCATGAAAAAGTATGAAATGAACATCCACGTCTCATGGGTCGATTGATTTCTAACGAATTGATCAAATCCGTTTTCAGATTTCTTAGTTTTGTTGTCTGTTGAGGTAAATATAGACAGATGGAATCCACATGGACAAAGCTAAGCTCTTGGTCCTCCATGCGTTTTAAGAATGTCAAGAAGTCCTAGGACCAAAATGTTTGAGATTCGCTGCTGCGGGTGATGTTGTTATAAACAAAAGTGGAAAATCGGAGCAGAATCTAGGGAAAGAATAATTCTAGGGCACGCATTTTTAACAGGGAACGTATTGCTTCTAAGGAGCAGAAGTGGGTCCTTGGAGTGAAAACATTCTATTCTTTTTAACGAATAAAGCAGAGATGTACATACAGAACATGGATATACGATACAAATGTAGTGTTAAAATTTCATGGGAAGATGATTATGGGGAAAAATGTTTAAAAAGGTTGAGAGGAGAAAATTCACAATCTTGTAAAGAGAAGCCAATTTTCTTGTTTTCAGCTTGCATTGTTACTACCTATAAGTGATTTTTTCTTTTTTTTTTTTTTTGGTCCCTGTTGTTTTAAGGAGATGATGTTTTGGGCTACCTACCATACTGTTCATCTTTAGAAGACTCTTGATTTATTCTTCTGGTTTGAGGGAATTCCCCACTAGGTTATGATTATGTTCCTTGGTAGATAGAAAACAAAATACTCCCAATGTTGATTGTTTAAAAAAATATATCTTTAAGGAGAATAACAGCAGGTCCACATAGTAGGGTTGAGACAAGTGTTCATGTGCTGCTGTCTTTGACACGCCTCGTGGTTGTGGGGGAATTTCCCTGTGTGTGTGATCACTTCCAAGTGGAAAGTAGAATGCTTTGTGTTTCTTCCTCAGATTCGGTTCAAGTGTGAAGGTAGTCCACTTTTTGGGGCCCACAAAGCCATGGAACTACAAATACAACCCCCAGATGGGCTCGGTGTTGGAGGAGGGCTCCGGGTTGGCCAACCAGCACCAGACGTCCTTCCTTAACCTCTGGTGGAAAATCTACCAGCACAGCATCCTGCCTCTTTACGGAAGCTTCCGGGATGAGGAAGAACACGCATCTCCAGGACGCTCTGTAAGTGGGTGACACCCTCTAAAAGCAGGAGTTGAGGATGGGCATATACTTTGCATGATCGAATCGATACCCAGTGTACTTTCTCAAAATGCTCCCTTCTGTTTCTATGTGTTGTATTTCATAAAGGATGCTGAAGATACAGATACCCTGGGTTGTTTTCTTCTGGCTCAAAATCATGAATGTTTAATGAGCCAAAATGTGGCTGTGATTTAGAGGGTTGATGCATAAATAGATTATTTCAGTTAGCCGCCTTCATCAGGGAAAGAGCCACTCGTAGCTAAGTGGCTGCAGATGATTGATTACCATGTTGTTCACGGAGACACTTGCCAATTTACATCATCAATTCAAGTAGCTGTTGGAGGACGTTGCTGAAGAGGATTTTTGAAACTCTTGATTGATACCAATTTGATTTTTTTTTAAATGTAATGGTAACCCTTCATGCTCTAAATAGTCACGTTTGTGTAGCTAGTTTACTATGGATACACCTGCCATACAAAAGACCTCTTGAAATTCGGTTCCAGGAAACTTTATTACCTGATCATTGTTTACCAGGACATGTATTAGTACCCTGTTGCACTGATGGGAAATGGAAGAGAATCCGTACTTTAATCTTGGCCATGGTTTTTGTTGGGTGGAACTAGGAGCTTCTCTTTGGAAGGACTCAGTTTCTCCCATCATTTCACACGAGGGAATAGGAGTTTATCTGTGTTTGTGTTGCCACTTATTTTCTGCTGGGCAGTTTGCTAGACATCTGGTTGTATGGGACGGAAATTAAGATGTGGAGTCAGGCCGTTCTGGGAAATAAGGCGTTGAGAGCGGTCTAGGAGATGTGTGCTGTGTGGTTTTTCTCGCCAGAATGAAGGCAACTTCCTAGAGGACCACCCGTCACCTGTTCTATCAGAGCTTACCTTATGAGCTGTCACGTTTCCAGGATCCCTTCGGCCCCAGAGGCTGTCTGTGTTGGCCCAGGGGTGTGGGAGTGCTTGCTTTTGTTTCCAGAGCATCAGGCCCTGTGCACGGCCAGCTCAGAACATGGATAGGTTGTTTATAGGTTCTTGGGGCCCGGTTTCCTAAGTCTGTGTGCATTCCTTGGGCAAGCTTCTGTTTATTGAGTACAGATGATAGGGTTGGGGAGTGCTGGCCACACAGAGGACGGGATGGGCCCTGGGGTCCCCAGGGTAGCCGGAGGGTTAAAAAGATGTAAGGAGGACTTACCAAGTGCATCCATCTTTGTTCAGGCTGGCATTGGGGAGCCATGTGCAAAACCAGCGGTGGGGTCCAGCCACCCTTGGCCTGCTGAGGGCCCTTCAGAGCAGACCATGGTCACAGATGACACCCCACCCTCACCCAAGGGATGCCATTCGGAAGATGTAAGTACCCACCCTCCACACAGGTGTGCCTGGAGAATCAGAGAATCGGATGCTGGCTCCCCAAGGAGACAGCTGAGAGCCTGCTCCCGGGGTTCCCAGGGCTTCCAGGGAGGGAGAGGGCATGGCCCCGTCTGCAGTCTGCTCTAGCTTCGAGGAGCTCCTGTGTTCATGTAGATCATCGCACTGTGACCCGTGGGGTACATTGAATAATGCTCCCCCACCAACATGTATGTGCACATCCTAATCCTAGGAACTTGAACATGCTACCTTATCTGGAAACAGGGTCTTAGCAGGTGTGGTCAGGTTGAGGACCACCAGAGAGTGATTCTGGGTTTTCCAGGTGGGCCCTGTGTTGTCACAAGGGTCCTCATATGGGGGAGGCAGAAGGAGATTTGCTGACAGAATGTGATTTAGAAGAAGCAGAGGCCAGACAGAGACGGGGAGATGCTAGTTCTGCTGGTGTTGAGGGAACACAGCCACAAACCAGGGCTGCAGGAGCCTCAAGGAGCGGGAAGAGGCCAGGAGATGGACTGTCTGCAGGAGCTGCCAGAAGGAACTCACCCCTGCCCACACCTTGACTTCAGCCCAGTGACACCCATGTTGGACTTCTGACCTCCAGAACTGCAAGGTGGTCAGTCTGAATTGTTTTAAGCCACCCAAATGGGCAACAAATGTGGGCATTTGTCACGGCAGCCACAGGAAGATAATACACACCCTGAGAACAGGTGTTGGGTCTCATCCTGATATTGCAAGGTCCCCAAACTTTAATGTTTGAAAGGCGTTGCTTGCATCTCCCTTGAACCCAGCTGCCAGACCACATGGTTCTACATCCGGAGACCTTTTGCCACACCCCTGATGCGAATATGACTTGGAGACTAATGTTGACCCATGTGCTCATTTCTACTGAGGCTGGATCTGCTGAATTCCTGTCCTCAGAGAAGAAAAACAACACCGCATGTTATTTGCAGAAGGGGGAACAGCAAATGAGGCCATTGTTTCTCCATCCCCAATTTCTGACATTGGAATAATGTCCAGTGTTTAAAGATTTCTGAATTTGGGAATCCTCACGTTGAAAGGCATTTTTATTACCTTCATTTCTCATTTATTACCTTCATTTCTCAGATTATTATGAGTTTTTAGCTGTGGATGGATCTGGGGTATGGGGTCAAGGGACGTCATATTTTTCCATGTGCTTCAAACAGGTTTGGGAGAACTGTGTCTTGATCGGGAACAGTCGATGTTTAAATTTTAGCAAACATGTCTGTGGATGGCACTCTATTCTTTATTATAATATGGAACAAATTACATTGTCAAAGTTGTTAATAGCCTTTGAGTTTGGATTCACGTCAACCCAAACAAATTGAGAAGACCCCCAGCTTCGTACGGTAAAGACAGACATAGTAGAAAGGGAACGTTTCCTGGTTTTTCATTCCTCCTGATGGTACACTGAGCCCCCCACAGTCTGGATGTGGCCCCAGGAAATGCCACATGTGAGTTCAATAAAGGCATCTGCTTGTTGCAGGAACATGAAGAATCGGTCAGTTAAGCTCTCACAGTGAGTGTACAACTGCTCCCTGTTATGTCACCAGGAGCCACGCCTGTAACGGGATCTGTAAGAAAATTCAACATTCTCACAAAATGTTTAGCAAACACGTGGACTCAATTAGGTATTGCTCAGAAAACCCTTTTTGCACCTTGATGGTTGATTTTATCTGTCAACTTGACTGGGCTAAGGGATGCCCAGATAGCTGGTAAAACATTTGGTTCATTAATTTTGATTTCCTTGATTGCTGTGGGTTTTCTTGGTGTTTCCTTCATACCTTAGTTTTGGCTTCATAATTGTCGGTGAAGCTCTGATAATAGACAACAGATATCTGTCTTTGTGTCTGTGTGTTTACAAGCGGCATTCCAATCGAAGCCGGCAGAGCCAAGCCCTTCCTGCAAAAGGGACCGGGCTTCTGGGCAAAGCCTATGGAAAGAATCTCCATCTCAGGATGGTGTTCCCTCGATGCCTGCTGAGCTGGACAGTGGCAACCAAAGGACACAAGTCCACCACCAGCAGCCCAGACATGGGGACAGCTGGCTCCATCCGTGGCAGAAGATGGGGGTGTCACTTGGGCAAGTTTGCTGTGGCTCCAAACCCTACCCCATCCTTAAGGGGTAATATCGGGGAAAGGAAGATTGTGGGAAAAGATCCCAAGGGTTGGAGATTGTGGGAAAAGATCCCAAGGGTTGGAGAAAAGAACCCATGGGTTCAGAACAAGTCCTCATACAAGAGGAGGAATGTCATTGAAAGTGAGAGCCCTTCTTGTGTCCGTACGGGCATCGGGGTCTATAGGTGGGACCTGGGGCTACCATCTTGCTGCACTCAATGGAGTCTGAGCCCAAGGCCAGGGGTCGGTAGAGGGGAGATGACTCCCCAGGTGGGATGGGTATGCCCGGCTCAGGGTATTTAACTAGTCCTCACAAGTAACTGTGGAACTCCAGTCTCTCGTCTTGGCGGCTCTAATGGACTGGCCCTGCTCCAGCTCACCTACACACTCCCACACCCCAGGCTTTGAAGACATCTCCAAACAGTAGGTTCCTGCAGTGAATGACCTGTATTTGCAGATTGCAAAGGAAGCAGCCAGAGGAAAGAATACAGAATGATCCACCTGGATGTATAACTTTGATTTGTATTAAAGTGCTCAGAGGAAGAAGGGATCCTCCAGGCATGAAGAGGCAACAAGGGAAGGCATCCTTGTCTATTGAAATGTGTGATTATGACCAGAGGGGTGTCGTCTCTGAGGATCCGAGGGAAAGAGTGGGGGACTCAGGCATGTGAGACCCCCTGAGCTCACTCCTGTGTGTCTTGGACACTCAGAGGAGAAGGGGCTCCGGGCAGGGTACTGTGAGCACTCCTCACGTGCATCATATTTCCGGGGGAGGAGGAGATGGATCCAGACGAGAGCTCAGGAATGGGCAGCTGTTGGAGAAAGGGCTGGAAGTGGAAAGGAAGCCACTTTGATAAGTAAATACAGACTCAACCCTAAGCAGCTGGGGGAGTTACGTTGGTAGCCTACAGCACATTGAACACTTTGCTGGAATAAAAGTAATATAAACAAGGAGGAGCGTTTCAGGGTGTCTGCTTCATTCTTCAGTCCCCTCTTCCCGCCCCTTTCCATCCTACCACCTGTGAATAATCCGTTGCCGAGATTGACTTTTGAAGAAATCTCGGTGGCTTGACTAATTAACCATGAGCATGTGTCTCTCAAAGCGATGAATTCTTCATAATTTTAAAAGGAAGGGATGCATCACTAAATTCTACTCCTGAAGCCAATATTACACTATATGTTAACTAACTAGAATTTAAATAAAAACTTGAAACAAAAACAAAAACAAGGAAGGGATGCTTTCACAGTGTCTTGGGTATAGTGCCTTATTTTGGAATTAATTATGGAGCATCGCTGCCACCTACTGGCAACGTATTGAATTACTGACTCTGGGTCTTTAATCTGGGGAGCTGGAACCCAGTCTAAAAAAGAAAGAAAAGATTATTTTCATAAATTCCTATAAATGTACAAGAGCTAGGTCCTGAATTTGGGATCCTTATTGAAGACAGCAGCCTTCGAATGATGGCAAGAGTATTGACAAGGAGGTCTTAGTTTTCAAAAGGAAAGCCAAATGTCTAATTTTCTTCCCATATAAATTAATGTATTAGAGAAATATATTTGCCATTTACTGTCTTCACAGTCAAGTGTTTTGTCCTCCAGTATCATGTTTGTCCTCCAGTATCATGGGTGGGGAAATGTAGTTAATGAAAATATAAGGAATGCCCTTTAGGTTTTTGAAGTTATTGGTTGTTTTTATTGTGCTTTCTTAGAACATCGTATTTGTTTTTTCATAAAACGTTTTGTTGAGGGATAACATGCATGTAAAAAAGGGCAAACATGATAAGTATACATCTTGATGCATTTTCAGAGTGAAAAAAAATCTTAAATAACCACAATCCAGATGCAGAAACTCACCCCAAATACCTCTTGCACCCTCCCAGTCACTAGGAAAGTCCATCCTGACCTTGACCCACACCACTTCCTTGTGAGTGCTTTTGAGCTCCTTATAAACAGGATCCTACAGTGTCTACTTTTGGGTCTGGTCTCTTTCACTTGACGTCTTTAGGAGATCCATTCGTCTTGCTGAGTGTAGTTCACTGATTCTCATAGGCTGCATATTATCCAATTGTAGTAAGACATAATGTACTGTTTAATTCTAGTGTTGGCGGACACACTGCTATTTCGGGTAACACAGGTAACTCCGTTAGAAACAACCTTATACATGCACCTTGTTGCCGTCACTAAGCATTTTTGGAGAGGTTGTCCTTAATGGTGGGGTCCTTAGATCAAAGGGCATGCGTGTGTACCCTTTTGCGTTAGTAGATTCTGCCAAGGATTTTGTACCCCTAGCAGGGTAGGGAAGTCATGGTTGTCCCACATCTTCAGCAATCTTCCAAAATGCCAATGAGCATGTGGGACATCTCTTTGTGGTTTTACTTTGCACGTATGAGATGATGTTGAGTTAACTTGAACCAATTCTTGGTGCTTATCAAGCTTTGACTCTTTTGGAAATGCTTATTCAAATATTTTGAACATTTTTTTCCTCCGGTGTTTCCTTTTTTTTTTTTTTTTAAGTTAGAGTCTTAACAATTTGTATATATTCCAGATGCAAGTTCTTTTTCAGTAGTACAGTATAAATACTTTCTGCTACTCTGTTCCCTTTTCAGTCCCCACATGGCATCTTTTGATGAATAGAAGTTTAGCCAGGTTTTAAAATTTCCTTGATGAGGCGTATGTTTTGTTTATTCTTTAGGAAATCTGTCCCTAAACTAAGGTCATGGAGATAATCACCTTGGTTGTCTTACAGAATTTTTATTGTTTCTATCTCTTATAGATAAGTGTATAATCCACTTGGAATGGATGTTAAGTAATGAATGAGTTGGGGGTCAACATTCACAACTGTTACATGGGGGTCTATCATTAACTCAGCATGGGTTATCAACAACACCTTTAATTCCCCCATGCTTTGTCATGTTTCCTTTGCCCATATGTGGATGGATCTATTTCCAGATTCTCGATTCTTTTATTTTTCCCTCTCTTGCACCAATAATATACTGTCATATGATTACCGTGGCTTTAAAATAAGTCATGCGAGTATTTCAACTTTTTTTTTCTTTCCCTGCCTCTTCTAAATTTCCTTTAGATTTCCATATGAGTATTAGGATCAGCTTTGCAGTGTCTTGGAAAACAAAACAAAACAAAATTTTCTGGAATTTCCACTGGGATTGCATTGAATCTATAGCTGGGATTTGGAAGGATTAATATCACCAAAGTTTGAGTCTTCTGCTCGCTGGACTTAGTATATTTCTACTTTTAGATCTTCTTTAATTTCTTCCAGTATGTTAATTTTTATAGTAAAGACCTTGCATACATTTTGCTAGACTTAATTCCTGGTTTTTGGTGGATTGTGAGGCAATGTTAAATAGTGTCATTGTAAACACTAAGATTCTGCCTGGATTCTTTTGGTTATTCTGTACACACCTTATCATCTGCAAGTGAAACACTGTCCAGTAATTTCTTAAAATGTCAATCATACATCTAGCATGTGATCTAGCCATTCCACTCCTAGGTATTTACTCAAGAGAAATGAATGCATATGTTCATATGAAAACAGCAGTTGATTTGTTTTTTTTTTAAAGATTTTATTTATTTATTTGAGAGAGAGAGAGTGCACAAGCAGGGGGAGCAGCAGAGGGAGAGGGAGAAGCAGACTCCCCCCCTGAGCAGGGAGCCCAAAGTGGGGCTCGAATCCCAGGACCTGGGATCATGACCTGAGCCAAAGGTAGATGCTTAACCGACTGAGTCACCCAGGAGCTCAAAACTGGACACAACTCAAGGGTCCATCAGTAGGTCAAAATATGAACGAAGTGTGGTCCATCCATACAGTGGAATACTACTCAGTAATGAAGAGGAATGAACTATCGATCCAGGCAGCAAAGTTGCAAAGGATAATTATATCGAGTCAAAGAAGGCAGACAAAAGATAAAACATACCATGTGGTTCCATTTCTGTAAACTTGTAGAAAATGTAAAATAATCTACAGTGACAAACAGAAGATGAGAGGTTCCCTGGGGATGGAGGAGGAAGGAGGGAGAGATTATTATGGAAACTTTGGGGGATGATATGTGTTTACTCTCTTGATTGTGTCCAAATTTGCCAGTATGTACAGTTTAGTCCAGTTTATAGTATGGAAATTGTACTTCAGTAAGGCTGCTAACAAAGCAAGACATTTAATGTTACTGTATATTCTTGGCACATCTTTCTATTGTGATGAAATATTTCTACTAAAGTTTATTGCCTTAAAGCTTTGTTTTGCTTAGTACTTATATGGTATATCTCGTTCGGCATTTTTCCTGCCAACCTTTCTGTGTTCTTATGTTTAAGGTGTAACTCTTTAAGATGTTCAGAATGAGCTTTTGTTTTCTTTCTATCCAAATACTTTTTGCCTTTTACCTGGGGTACTTTGTTGACATTTAATATAATTACCGGTATATTTATGTTTAAATCTGTCCCTTGGTTTGCTCTTTATTATCACCAATTTGAGAGATCTTTTTCTTTCTTTTTAATCTTTCTTTGGATTGATTAATGTATTTTTAGTTATTCCATTTCAGCCTCTTTTACATGTCAGTTTAGCATTATTTTGATTATTTTTTAAGTGGTTACCCAGAGATTCCAATTTTCATTCCTAACTTTGACATAATGTAATATATTTAGGACTTTGTCGCTTCCAGGGAATAGAAGAACTCCAGAAGGCTTTCAGACTGTCCATTTCCCTCCACGTTTTGTTCTATTCTTACAGAACAATATTTTAATTCTATAGCTACTTTACACAGTCCAAGTTCACTCAGCTATATCATTCTATTTTCATTCCTTATTTCATTCTTTCTATCAGTAATCCTTGTCTTCTCTCCAAAGAACTTCCTTTATTATTTATTTTCATTCAGGCTTCGTGCTGAAAAATTCCCTCCATTTGTATATCTGAAAATTCCTTTATTTAACCTTCATTTGGGGCCATATTTTACTGGATGTAGAATTCGCAGTTGGCCGTTCTTGTTACAAGGGCACTTTGACCATGTTGTTTCGTAATCTTGTGACTTCCATCATTTCTCTGCAAATTCGTCTTCCAGGCTCATGTTTGTGCACTTGAGGGTCATTTGTCTCTTTGCTCTGGCCGCTCTTAAGATTTCTCTCTTGGGCTTCAGTTATCTGTTTTATAATCATGGCTCTGGGCTTATTATCCTTTGTTATTTGTCCTACTTGGAGTTTGTAGCTTGAATTCCTTCTGCCCGTTCTGTCTCTCTCTGTCTCCCTCTTGCTCTCCTTCGCTCTCCTCACTCTCCTGACTTCTTGTAATCCAATCACATCTTCAGTACGACTTGTTACCATGTTTTTCTATATCTGTGACTCCCTTCCCTACATTGTCCTCCCGTCTCTTACCATGCTCTGTTCTACTGGCCTACTTTCCAGTTAACCAATCTTCTCTTTGGTTGAGTTTAATCCGTTGTCAAGCCCACATCCTGAACACTTAATTCCAGTTATTGTGTTCTGAACCCCAATAAACATCAAATATTTAATAGGGCAGTTTCCATACTTCATTGAAAATCTCCAACTTGTCCCTTTATTTCATTTAAAGTATTTCTTACACTTGGTTATAGTCTATGTCTGATAAATCATATATCTGGATTTCATGTGGATCTGTTCTTGTGGTTTGATTTTGTTTTTCCTCTTGTTCTTCATTCATTTGGTCTTGTCTCGCTCTGTGCTAGTTGATTTTTGATACCACACATCACATTGCATATTTTTTTAGAGTTTATTTATTTATTCGGGAGAGAGAGAGAGAGAGCACTCACAAGCAGGGGGAGCTGCACAGGGAGAGGGACAAGCAGGCTCCCCACCGAGCAGGGAGCCCGACCTGGGGCTCAATCCCAGGACCCTGGGATCATGACCTGAGCCGAAGGCAGACGCTTAACGACTGAGCCACCCAGGTGCCCCTGGCAGGAAGTTTTTATAGAGGTGGTTTGCCCATGCCCTCTTGGAGGTTGAACTGGTGTGAAATTGGGCTTCTGTGTTTGTAAGAGCTGCTCTATTTCTCGTCCTCCTTTTAGTGCAGTCCCTCATGAAAGCCTGTGGTGTTCAGAGGGTCCCTCCTGAATACCTCATCATTTATGGGTTCCTCAGCCTCATGGCACTGCTGAACTGTCTGCTCAGATTCTTCCTACAGCCTCTTGGTTGCCTCAAGGGCGAATAAGATGCCAGATGCATTTATTATATTCCTCTCACAGACGCAACCCAGCCCAGCCACATGATTTCTGCAGTATGTTTGCAGGGACAATTGGGAAATGTGTCAATGTTCTTTAGCCTCTGTAGCAGACAGTGATTAGGTTAGTGTTGCAGAAGCCTTTGGACCATTTATGGCCCCCAGCCCCTGGGTACAAGCTTGCTTCCTGACCATGAATTGATTAGGCTTGCTGTATAACAAACAGCCCCAGGTAGGTAAAAATCTATGTCTGTGTCCCAGTCAGCTGTGGTGGCAAAGGCATCCTGGGCTCCATGCAGTCACCAGGGGGTCCAGGATCCTCCTGTAGTTCTAGTCCAGCTTCTTCTAGGGTGTCCCTTGTCCGCTGTGGCTCTCTGAGAGAGAATTAGCCCTTCCTGCTGAAGCCAGCCATCACACACAATGCATTATATTGTCTCCTATGCACCTGAAATGATCTTGGCTATGGACCATCCTTGGAAGCACTGAGAAAATAGTCGCTCAGGTTGCTTTCTCTAGGGGTTTGTTTTCTCATGGAACCCCAGTTGAAACAGGTTGGAGGGATCTTGTTCTTCACCTGACCTGTGAGTAAAGAGGGTAGGAAAAGTGTATCCCGCATCAGTGGAGGTGAGTCACATTGCATCTCAGTGGTGTGGATGAGAAGTCATCGTATGGCTCCACTTAGGTACAAGGAAGACGGGGGCATGTGAGCCCAAGACAAAGGAGCAGACGCAGGAAATGGTGAGCCTGGCACTGTCTGCCCCACACCTGTTCCTTGTCACGCTGCCTTTGTATCATGGAGGCAAACAAAATAGATTGGGTGTTTTCAGATATTTGCAGAAGGGTTATCCTAATTTGCTTTTCTTTCTTTCTTTATGACAGACAATAGGGTGGCCTGAACTTGAGACATCCGCTGGAGTGAGGTGTGACTCATTGTCACCACCCTTCCCCCAATGTGCAGACTCCTCAGGGACCCAGACCACCTCGGTACACCTCATTTACACTCCTTACGTACCTCTGTGTCTCCTAGTGTTGTTTTCTTGGCATGTCTTTGTCCATCGAATACCAAAGAAGATGCCCCATGCTTTTCTTCTTCATCCGGTGATCTTTCTGAACGGTTTTCCCAACCTTGAATATCTGTTGTGATTAGTCTATACAGAACTGGGGTGTCTATTCAGATTTCTGTTGGTCATTTGGTTAGTCCATTTCCCTTTAGGAAGAATTAGAAATGACAAAGCTGTAACATCACCATGACATATATTCTCCCTTTTAAAATAAATTTTTTGGTAGGACTTTGGACCCATGTTTAATATCAGTATTGAAGGATTATGAGTCCTACCCCTGTTTTTGCTAAATTTGCCCTCATGAATCTGGGCTTTTTTACTGTGCATGATCAGAAGTTTGAGCTCAGAGTCTGCTGTGCTCATTGAGACACGAGCTTAGTAAAATGCTTCCATGGGCATTTGGTATAAACTATAGTCAACCCTTGAGCGACACAGTGTTGAACTGCATGGGTCTGCTCATACACGGATTTTTTTCAATAAATACAGTATGGTACTATAAGTGTATTTTCACATCTTACGATTGTCTTAATCACATTTTCTTTTCTCCAGCTTACTTTATTGTAAGAATACAGGCTGTGATATATAGAATGTGCTAAATATGTGTTGATCGACATTTTCTGTTATTGGTAAGGCTTTCGGTCAACAGCAGGCTATTGGTAGTTAAGTTTTGGGGGAGTCAACAGTTATACGTGGATTTTCGACTGTGTGTGTGTCAGTACACCTAACCTCACATTATTCAGGGGTGAACTGTAATTGAATCCCTGTCTGAAAAATTAGCTTTGGTACCTCCCATAAAAACTTCCAGCACCTCATCTTGTGTGAGAAATGGTAGGTGTCAGGGGAGAAGGTGGGAGTGGGGAAGCCCCCCTTTCTAGTCTTTGAGGAAAGGGCCTTTGACACAACACATTCCTTTGATCTTATTTTCCCCTGGCAAAGTTCTCTGTTCTTGTAGTTAAAACTGTAGTCGCCTGAAACCATCTGCCGACTAACGATGGAATGGTTATGTTTCTAGCAGCCCATGGATAAAGGAGAAGGTGACCCATCTGTGGAAATCTTGGAACCAAGCCAGGAGCCCCCTATGGATGTCACCGGGGACTCCAGTCCTCAGGATGCTTTGGAGGTGGTACCCTAATTGTCTTGTCTGGCACTGCTGCTGGATGCTGTCCTCCCTCACTGGTGCCGGCAGTACTCATGCACCAACCTCAATGTCCAGCCTGACTTTGTTGAAATAAGACTCTGCCTGCCTCTCTTGGTGCTTCTGATTCGTCTTTCTCCTTTCCGGCGTTTGCCTGGGGTGCTTGGTCACTTTCTTTCCCATCCTTAATCATCACGGCCTTTCTCTCTTTAAATGCTGTTCCGCAAAAGTTAATTGACCTTCAGGGTCTTTTTCTGTTCTTCTTGCTGATTGCCCAGCGAGCCATTGTCTCATATGAAGAGGATAAAAGCAAAAAAATCTGGGGGTGAACGTTTGGAGCCAAATGGCGCATGCAGTGCTGTCCTTTCTCTTCCAGATGTCCTTGTCTTAAATTTTCTTCTTTCCACGGATATGTTGAATGAAAGCAATTGCAAAAAAAAAAAAAAAAAAAAAAAAAAAAAATTCTAACAGCAATTGAATGACACCTTTTGGTTTTTAAGTAGTAGTTAATATGGCTCTAGAGCTGGACATTGGGTGTCTGATGAAAGTTAGTATTGAGCACGTGTCTGTTTCAGTGGGTATTAGCAGAATACTGTAGCCTGGGGGGCTTATGCACATAGTGCATTTATTTCTCCACAATTCTGGGGACTGGAAGTCCAAGGTCAAGGTGAGAACCACTTCCTGGTTCATAGACCTCCATCTTCTTGTGTCCTCACACAGAGCAAGGGGCGAGGGAGCTCTCTGGGGTCCCTTTTGTAAGGACACTCATCCCATTCATGGGGGCTCCCACCCTCATGACCAGACCACCTTCCAAAGGCCTCCCTCCTCATACCATCCTATTGGGGGTTAGTATGAATTTTGGGGGGACACAGATATTTAGTTTATAGCAATATTTGCAATATGGCCTACTCTATAATACATTTTTAGTTTGCATGATGCTTTTACTAGAATGTACGGTGGAGAAAATGTGTACGCTTTTTCTCCCTCTTACTTTGTCAATGTAGTGAATGCCAAATGCACTATTTTGAGCTTATTTCTAGAGGTTTCCATGACAGGGTTTCTTCTGAAACTCTGCTGGTGGCATGTGGAATGTGAGCGTATTCAGCTCTGGCGGTATGGCTTTGAGGCAGAGTGATTCGGATAAATAGCGGTTGGGGGTGACACGGTATGGGGGTGCTGCTGGGCAGACCTCATTTAACAGCTCAGCCATGTGGTGTGGGGGCTTTGGGACCGTTGGCGAGTTCATTACCTTCTCTGATCCATGAGGTGGAGACGGGGGTGCCCACCTGGGAAAGCAGGAGGTGGGGGTGGGGATTAGACTCAGCAGTGGTTTGGAAGAATCCATGATTGTACCTGGCTCATAAAGATTAGCACCAGCCCTACCACCAGGGCTGCTCCCAGCAGATGGCACAGGTAACACTCCCACCTTCTAAGGTGATGCACCTGTATAGGATGCACCCTGGTGAGGGGACCTTGTGAGCACCCAGGAAACTGGCGGTCCATTACTTGTCCGCTTAACTGGGGCATGTTGACTTTTTCCTCCTATGTAGTGTCTCCACTCCACTGTGGATGACCCTCACTATTTTGTATAATACCATGTTTCATAAAATCAAGGGAGTTTGTGGTTTTCCTAGATAGGTCTCTCCTCTTGTTATCACGGAGGATGCAGTCGCCACACTGTTTTGTGTTGAGCGATAGTATACCATGTGTTCTATGGGTCCTGTTAATTCCAGAAAGTTTTAGTTCCCAGATATGCACTGAGCCCGAATCCAAGGGCTCTTAGAGGAAAGAAGGGCTAAGATCTAATGGAAAATAATTCTTTATTAACTCTTGCTATTTCCTTGGCCAATAGGATGGCAGTGTTTGAACACGATGTAAGGGAACAAGGGTAGAACTCAGGTAGAACTCCATACAAACTCTTTAAAAACACTATTGTAAATGATCAGAGTAGAAAGTCCCATATGCCCAGTAGCATCGAAATTCTAATTTAACTATCTGGCATCCAGTATCGTCCCACCAACACACACAGCGTCTGGGGAACACCTGAGTGTCTCCTGTAGTGTGTGTGTGTGTGTGTGTGTGTGTGTGTGTGTTATCAGCACATGCATATTTTTAGACATCTTTTTCTAATCCTTGGTAAGAAATTTTTAAAGCAAACATATTCACTACTTTTATTGACCCATTTGAGTGCCAAACAAAAGGTGCGTGTGTGTGTTTGCACATGTCTGTATTTATATACTGTCTCGTATTTTGGCTTTAAGAAGATAAAAACCCTGCCATTTGCAAGCAGAAAACCACTGCGGTTATTATTTAAATGGCTTTGGCAGGCTGTCCAAACTACTATAGGCTTTATTCATACAAGGCGAGCATTTTCTTGATTTCATGTACTTTGATTATATACGGTGATACCAAACGTTGAGGTTTCCGGTGGGTGGAAGCATTAAATCGGTACAGGTGTGTATGTAAAATGGTTTAGTGGTAAAAGTTAAAACACTTCTTATGAAAAAGTGAACACATGTACCATGGGATTTTATAAGATTTCACAAAACGTGGCCAGGAAAAGCATCTTCTTCTAAGAGTATTATATTAAACTCAGCACATATTTTGTTCAATAGAACTGAGATTCATTTGTAGACCCAGTCACTAAACCAGATGTTCAGTTACGCCAGGGATGGCTCCAAAAACCATCTTCTGTCTGCTTGTCCTCCCTAGGTTGACCTGGCCATGTCTGTTTATGAGATTTCCATCGAAGAGAAGGTCAAGGAGCTGAGTCCCGAGGAAGAGAGGAGAAAATGGGAGGAGGGACGCATCGATTACATGGGGAAGGATGCGTTCGCCCGCATCCAGGAGAAGTTGGACCGGTTTCTGCAGTAACCCCAGGGGTCGCATTGCGCTGTGTGTGGTTAGGCAATATTCTGCTGCATGGTCCCGCGAACGCGGACATCTCCAGGCCCTTTGAAGGGAACAGGTGTTCAACTATGTGCCTCTGTTTATGGCTGACCAACTTGAGTGCCTCACAAAAATAATGTAGACCATAAAAAACCCAGCTTAAAGCCCTCTACCCCCCTGCCCTGCTTATCCAAGCTACCCATGCCTTCTTGGCTCCTCTGAGATGTCAGTTCTTCTCAGCAAATGGGAGCAGGGATAAACTTCTGGTAGACCCTTGATCATGCTCTCTGGTCTTGCTCCAAGGAGCTCTGGGATGCTGCCCTTGGTCAGGTGCTACCATCTCTATCCCACGTAGGGTTAGACATCACTGCAGATTCTCTTCTGCCCCTAAGCTAATGACAGCGGTATATGCATACAGGACCTCAGGAAGCCTCGACGATGGAAAGTCCTTTCCTTGAGGACTAGGTAGACGTTCAGACGTCTTGAGGGAGACTCTCACGTAGACTTCACGGAGCATGTCTGAGCAGCACTACAGGTGTTGTTTCTCTTCTGCAAATCCTGGTGGGGCTGCCAAGTGCTGTTGGCGGATGCCCGACTTGGGAAATGCTGGAGGTAATGTGGAAGGGAGATTCTAGCTGGCTTGGGAGATGGAGCGTCTTCTTGGTTGGGGAGAATTGAGGGTTTACCCCGGGTGGTTCTGATGACACCTCACTCACACTAACAGGATCTGGAGAGGCTCTTTGTGTAGAGGCAGATCTGTGTGCAGGCTGTCACAACTGACTGTGCTCTGCTGGATATCACTACCTCAGTGCTAAATAACGAGTCGAGTCACTGTGTTCTCCAGACCATTTCAATGCAGCTGTTTTGGGGGAGAAATCTCAGTTTTATGAGACTGGATGCTTTATTCTATGAGAAGTCCTCATCTTCAGAAGTATCCTCGTTTTGTGAATTCATGCAGTATGTTGGAACAGCTCTGACAGGGTCACTGCTTGTGGCCACCACCTAAAAATGGGCACCACCATGCTAAAGAGAGGGAAATGTGATTTTTTAAAAGTTAGGATGGTTTGTTTATCATGCACGTACTGTGGAACATCAGAGGGTTTCCTAACAGACAGGTTTGGACCACGTGGTGGTGGCTATGCTATAACTTGGTGGGTGTGTTTGGCCATGTTTTACATCATGTCAAGCAGGTGAGCCCTTGGGTGGAGGAATGTGGGGAAGTGCATGATGTTAGTTGTGGTCTGAGCTTTTGCAAGACGTGAGTTACTGGGGGGTTGTTTCCTTTATGTCTGGGTGGCTAATGGTCTGCAGTCTTGGTTGGGCATCACACATACGAAGCTTCTGGAGCTAAGTGAAGATAGCCATATGGATAGAGCCTTACAGGGATTGAGTTGGGATGGTAATCAACCATTAGAGTAACACTATAAACTTGTTCGGGGGAAAGACCGTGGGTGCTGGGTGCCCTGGTGTTGGGTTATGAAAAACAGGAGCCCGAGTCTGACATACTTGAGAAGGAGGAGTCTGGTGATGAATATTTGAGTCTGGTTCAGCTTCTGTGGGGAAGAGAACTCCTGTTTCTGGACATTGGTTTAATGGCTTAAGGTGTCTGTTCAACACAGACTTCTGTTATGCATTCTGGTCTATATCTTTGATTTGAATGGATGCTAATGCACTTCAATTAAAAATTTAAAACAGCAACATGGTGTCCCTCCTGGTGTGTGTTTGTGTGTGTTCTGAGCCATCAAAATAATATTTTATATGTCACAGAGGGAAGGGACGTGGGTGTGTGTAAATTTAAATCACCAACATTTTTTTCAGAATTGCTAGTAGTAGTAAAATGTGTAGAACCGTTTTCTCACTGTGTGAAATTCCCTAAGGTCTCTCTAGGGAAGCTACCCATTTCCTAGCATTGTTTTTCAATGTCACATTCATTCATTCAATCCATCCATCCATCTTCCAATCACTCACCCATCCATCCATCCATGCATCCATCCATCCACCCATCCAGTCATTCATCCATCCTTCCACCCAACCACTCATCCATCCATCCATTCATCCATCTATCAATCATCCACTTATGTATTCATCCATCCATCCATCCATCCATCCATCCATCCATGCGTCTATCCATCCACCCATCCAGCCATTCATCCATCCTTCCACCCAACCACTCATCCATCCATCTATCAATCATCCACTTATGTATTCAGCCATCCATCCATCCATCCTTCCATCTGTCCATCCATCCATCCCATGGTTATTGAGTTCTCTGTAGGGCAGGCATTGTGACATGTACTTATTCATAAATGAGTAGTTCAAAACATTCTGAGGGTTTCTAAATAACATCTGTGTAAGAGGTATAATACGATGTTGTTACATGAATAAGGCCAATGCAGAATCTGTGCTATGTAAGGTCAGGACCACACAATTGTTTGAGTCCCCAAGAGATGTGATTTGACCTGTACTATCAATATTTGGGTACATAAAAGGTAGGTTGTGTGTGTGTGTGTTTACGTTTTCTTGTTCTAGAAATATTTTCCAATTATTATTTGGGAGCAGGAGGAAATGCCATGTGGGGAGAAGCACCTGTAGATATGGTGACTTTGCAGGGTGGGTGAAGGTGTGAAGATGTAGAGGAACAAAGTACAGTATTATCACTTGGTCCTATCTTGCTGAAACCATTGTGTGGTACTTGAATGCACATGAACAGCTCACTTGCTGATGGGTTTTGGCGTGGGACTGCAAACAAGTTGAAGCAGAACGGGGTTCTTTCTGGTGACCACTCCTGAATAAGGAAATGCAGACCAATTATCCTTGTATGTGCTTATTAGTCATTCATTTCTTCTTTAGTAAAATGACTGCTTGTCTTTTGCCCACGTCTTAGGTGGTTTGTCTCCTTATTATGGAGTTGTTTTCATTTGGAAATATTTTTCTCCCCATCTGTGGCTTATCTTTTCCTTTTTTTCATGGTGCTCTTTGAAGCACACAAGCTTTGAATTTTGATAAACTCTCATTTATCAAGTTTTAAAAAGCAGATCAAGCTTCGGTTGTCTTATCTTAAAACATCTCTTCCTAACCCAAGAGGACAAAGATTTTGCCGTGAGTTTCTTTCTGATCCTCTTTTTCGTTTGGGTCTCTAGTGGATTTGGCGTTCATCCTTCGGGACGTGTGAGAGAGATTAAAGGTCTAAAGGTGTGTTTTTGCGTGTGAACAGCCAACTGTGACAGGGAATGCCCCATTGGATGTGTAACAGACTCATCTATGGGGCTAGCCAAAGCTGACCATATTCTGCAAAATTTCCCTAGTTTGGATATTCGAGTGCACCCCCAGGCCCCTCAGAGCCTGCTCACACTCACGCACAGCTTGCCATAAAGGCGTGGGACAGGAAGGCGGCCAGAGACGGAACCTGGCAGGCAGCCCTAGGGGTTCAGCAGCAGTCCGTGCAAAGCTCCCCGTTTGCTGTGTCTGCAGACTGAGCACCAAGGTCTGTGGGAGGAAACTCGGTTTCAACGGAGCAGACAATGGAGGGGAGAAGTCTGTCTTGCCCTCGGGGCCGGGGGGCGGGGGGGGGCACTTAGTTAAGCCACAGCCGGTCTAACCGGTTAGGCCAGTTGCCAATGTTTCGCGGCAAGTAAAGACACAGGGCCCTGGAGATTAAGATAAGGCTTGTTCCGTCGGGTAGTAAATCAGCTCTGCTCTGCCCTGACCCCTGGAGTGCGTCCTGCTTATCACCGCCCCGGGGCCCTGGGCTGCCTCCTTCCCGGTGGATCTGCCCGCAGTCTCCAGCGTCTTTCCTCATGTCCCTCCCACGCGCCTCCCTGCTGCGTGTCTGATTTTGTGAGTCAGTTTTGCATTAAAATATGTATGTGTAGAGTCAGATATTGGCAGTGTTTTGCCAGTGGAAAAAGGTTTCACTCAAAAAAGACTGACTCATGAGAAGCAGACAAGAAAGTCATAGAGGATGAAAAAAAAGGGGGGGGCACAAGAAAGCAAAAAAGCCCAGAAGGAGGTTTCTTGGGGAAATTCGAGGTTTTATAAGCCAGCTGGAACCTCGAAATTTGCTAAACAAGTAATTTAATTTGGCAATGAAATATGTTTCAAAGACCTCGGACAAGTCATTATAAAGGCTGTCTCACCTTTAGGCTGATGAGACTAACCCTGATTCTACCCCCTGCAGGTATGTGCCCACTTCAAAGAGTGAATGTCTCAATTCCCAGTTGTTTCTACGGAGGGAAGCAGGAGAGCAGGAGTCCGGGGTTAGAACCTCTGCAGAATTCCCTTCACAGGGGCTGACTCAGCTGGGAGGAATGCCCTTCTTCCTGCAGCCTGGAATGTCTATGTGGTGGCTGGAGCTGCTGCAGCCATGCTGAGGCCATGAGGCAGAGGGTGGTAAAGCTTGGAATTGCAAGGAGGCTGCTAGCATGAGGTTGCATCCCTCCAAGAGAGAACACACCCTTCCCTTCTTTTTTGTTAAGATTCCACGAATCGGTGAGATCATGTGGTATTTTTGGATCTGTGTCTGGCTTATTGCACTTTGCATAATGTCCTCGAGTTCCGTCCACGTTGTGACAAAGGGCAGGATCTCCTTGCTTCTCGTGGCTGAGTCGTGTTGCGTTGTGTGGATGGACCACATCGATGGGCACTTGGGTTGTTTCTAGGTCTTGGCTGCTCTGAAGAGAAGAATTTTGCTATGAACATGGGAGTGCATGTATCTTTGAGATCCTGTTTTCATTTCCTTTGAGCAAATACCCAGAAGTGCAATCAGTGGGTCATAGGATAGCTCTATTTTTTAATTTTTGGGGGAACCTCCATCCTGTTTTCCAGAATGCCTGCACCAGTTTGCATTCCCAGCAACAGTGCAAGACAATTCCCCTTTCTCTGCATCCTCACCAACATGTTTTGCCCCCTGTCTGTCTGATGACAGGCATCCTGCCAAGTGTGAGGTCATGTCTCATTGGGGACCTCCGTCCTGCCCACACGCGCACAAGGGGAAGGTTCCACAGCACGGCTGCAGCCATGGCTTCCAGATGATGTTGCTCAGGGAAAACTGGGGGGGCACAGGACTCAGGGTCTTCCTGTGCTGATCCACTGCCTCGCCCACCCTTGCTACCACCGCGTGGTACCGGGGTTCGGAGTCAGGGGACAGGGGCTCTGCCTCGGAAGGGTCCCTGGAGAGGTCGAAGAGCAGAGGCGGGCTGTGCTGGGTCACGCCGTCCCCAGAGCAGGGGCACAGGCCTCGGCCGTAGCAGGCCCCCGCCCCCTTGGGGTGGAACTGCGGTGTCATGTAGTGGACCTTCCAGAGTCTTCCACCTAAAGACAAACAGAGCAGTGAACACCTGACCCAAGTACCAGCCCTGGGGAAATCATCAACATCCCATCCAAATAAAAAGGAGCGAAGAAAAGCAAGTGGTTCTTGCAAAGTGTGTCTATATGGTGTGGTCCAGGCACACAGAGGCAAAGGGACTCCTCCCAAAGTGCTCAGTGAGGCTGCCTGCATGGATGATAACCCTATGGGCCGTGCTTACTTCATTCTTACCCTTCATTCTATTTTCTAATTGCTCCACGTCCCCATACTAGTTTCATTAACAGAAGCAAATGGGACACATCAACATCGTGAAAGTTCTTGCTGTGTCCTCAGGGGGTGCGTTTGCGTACATGGCAGATAATAAAGCCAATCAGAGGGCGGTACGGGGTGGAGCCCTCAGATTCCCTTCCTCTGTACATGTGCCCAGCACCAGCCATCACTCTCCATGAGATACTGATTCTTCTCAGCTTCTCAGAAAGAGATTTGCTCTGAGATGTTGCGTTTCATGCGTCATCATGGCCAGCCTATGGCACCCAGACACACGGTCAAAGATCAATCTGCATGTCCCCGTCATGGGTTTGCTTTTTTTTTCCCCAGTGAGATGAACATTTACATTAGCAGACCAACCTCCATACTGTGGGTGGGCCCCACCCAATCAGTTGAAGGATGTAAGAGAAAGCAGACTGAGGTCCCCTAAAGAGGAAAGAATTCTGCCTGCAGAGCACAACACAGAAATTCTGCCTGAGTTTCTAGCCTTTGGCCTCAAGATGGCAGCATCCACTCCTGCGGGACTGCAGGCTGGCCCTCAAGATTTCAGACTTGCCAGTCCCCACAGCCACGTGAGACAATTCTTGAAAAATCTCTTGTTTCTATCCACCCATTCATCTACATCTGTCTTTATCTTCTATCTCTATCTATCATCCATCTGTTATCTACCTATCTACCTCTCTGTCATCTATCTATTTCATTATCTATTAATCTATCCTATCAATCATCCATCCATCATCTATCATCTATCCATCCATCCATGGTCTATCATCTGTCCACCCATCCATCCATCCATCCATCCAACCACCCATCATGTGTCCATCCATCCATCTATGCATCCACCCATGTGTCATCCATTCATCCAACCATCCAACCATCCATCCATCCACTTCTCCATGCATCTACATATCCATCCACCTTCCATCCATCCATCCATCCATTCCATCCATCCATGTGTCCATCCATCCATCCATCCATCCATTCATCCACTTATCCATGCATCTATACATCCATCCACCTTCCATCCATCCATCCATCCATCCATCCATGTGTCCATCCATTCATCCACTTATTCATGCATCTACCATCCATCCACCTTCCCTCCATCCATCCATCCATGTGTCCATCCATCCATCCATCCATCCATTCATCCACTTATTCATGCATCTACCATCCATCTACCTTCCCTCCATCCATCCATCCATCCCTCCATGTGTCCATCCAACCATCCATCCACTCATCCATGCATCTACCCATCCATCCACCTTCCATCCATCCATCTATCCATCCATCCATCCATCCATGTGTCCATCCATCCATCCATCCATCCATCCACTTATCCATGCATCTACCCATCCATCCACCTTCCCTCCCTCCGTCCATCCATCCATCCGTCCATCCCACACACTCTTGGTTCTGTTTCTCAGGGGAACCCTGACTAATGTAACCACCCCTCCCCCGCACTGGGAAAAGGCATGTACTCACTGTCCTTCTCGTGCCAGCGTGCTGCATGCAGATACTTTCCACAGTAATGAAACAGGAACTCATGTGCAGAGTGCTCAGCAGCCCCTTGAAGCAAGGGCACCAGGCTACGGCCATCGATCACCCTGATTCAGTAAAGAGACACAAGAAGGAATCAGACGAAGGCCGCTCAGGCTGCGTTGCACCTGGAAATGAAACTCCAAGCTTGTAAGGGCCCCTGCTATGGGGCGAGAGGAGCAGAGATGAGCTGTCTCCCCAACTCTGTCCAGATTGCAAGTTGTTGAGCAAGATGCACGTCACTGTTTCTAAACACAAAGTCACTAAGTCATGGGGTCATTTGGTTATGCCGTGCTACAGACACAGTGAGCTCACGGACATATACACACCATCCCAACCTTGCCAGTCATGGCCACATGGCCATATTTTTAAAAAGTCCTCAATCTGAACTTAATGTACAAATGTAGTATTTTCCCTCATGGTTGTAGAACACTTTTATTTTAATTATACCCTAATTATGGTGGTTCTGTTTTCTGTGTCCACTCGGCTGGGTCATGGTGCTCCATGATTTGGTGAAACTCCAGTCTGAGTGTTGCTGTGAAGGCATTTTTTTAGATACGGTTAACATCCGTCATCAGTGCACTCTGAGCAAAGCAGAGCACCCTTCACAGTGAAGGTGGCCCTCACAGAATCAGTTGATGGCAGCCAAGAGCAAAGACTGAGGTTTCCCAGAGAAGGTGGAATTCTGCCTTGAGACTGTAACAGGGAAATTCTGCCTGGGTTTGCAGCCCACTGGCCCGACATAAGGATTTCAATTCGTCAGCCTCCACAACTGCATGAGCCAATTCTTAAGATATATGTCTTATTTTGTAAACACACAGACACGTGCACATATACCTATTGGTCCCGTCTCTCTTATACAGGAGTATTTATTTGTTCCCTTAAACGGAGTAAGACCAAGTCATTATCAAAATATTTACTGCCTTGTTTTTATCTTGTATTTGCAAGAGTCTTTGGTTCTGTGCTAATATTGAGGTGATAAATCATTTCTAAAGCATGCTGTCACTCATCAACATACAGGCAAGAGTGCGTCTCAGGAAATCACAGGGAGATGTGTTTCAATGGATTGACTTCTAATGCTTTCATCTCCTCGTTGTTGTGCTGAGTTATAAAATTTTACCAAAATGGCAAAATGAGTAGATGGACCCAATATTTTATTTAATTGCGTTTAAGTGAGTATGATTATTTTGCCTTAGGCTGTCCCCTACATTTGAGGATGTGAGAACTTTCTGAATGTTCTCACATGGTGGTAGGGTTTCTCCCCTACGTGTAAAATTGTAAAAGGACAGCTGTGAGGAACTGAGGAGGACGGAGGTCTCATTACACGTGTACCTGTCCTGGGGCACCTCGCCGCCCCCCAGCTGGACCACGGTGGGGAAAACATCCATCAGGCTGGTGGGCTCGTGGATCATTTGGCCAGCTGGCAGCACCCCAGGCCAGCGGAAGATCGCCGGGACACGGATCGCACCTTCCCAGCCCCCCATCCCTTTGCCACCTGTAAGTAAACACCATTAGAATTCTCCAGGAGATGGTCCCATCCACACACACACCTAGGTGCACCTGTCTGTCTGTGTGCATGTACCAGGGCACCCCCACACATAATCACACACGGTGGCAGCCTGCATTTCCCAAAAATATTTGCAGCCATAATCCCAGAACCTCGTCACATCCCTATGCGCACGTGGAGTCCGTATGCTCTCCTCTTGAGATTCAGCGGGTCTTTGCGACCACGGGAACACACGGGGTGTGCAATGCGGGGCTTCAGAGCTGTAACTGGCACTGGGATTTCATACCGCACATGGTTCGTAGTCCCCGTCTTCCTCCGTCCTTTTTCTTTCTGAAAGGACTAGGAATTGGATCTGGGACCCCCTTCTCCACCTCTCCTACCTGCTCGCCATACCATACACCTGTTCCTTTACCCCTTTTCCTGGTTCTTCTTCATTTCTGGGACCCTTAGCAGTGAGTTGGGGTCCAGGTTGGCTCTTTGGGAAATGCACATAAGTATTGAGCATTAGACAACGTGCTTCCGCTTCCTAAACTCTGGGTATGGAAATCAAAGCAATCCCATGTTACAGAAGGAGAGTTGTAAACAGGGAGGGAGGGATGTGTTCAGAATCTTGCTAAATAAATGCTTCTTTGTTGCAGCTCAAAAACTGTAATGGGCTTGCCTTTGTTTTGTACTGCTGCGTAACAAGTTACTGCAAATCAGCAGCCTCACTCCTGTGTATTAGGTCTCCCTTCTGCATGTTGGGAGTCAGGCGTGGCTTGGCGGGTACTCTGTTCTGGGTCCCACAGTCAGAAACCAAGGGGTAGGCTGTTTGTAGAACATACCACTGGGAATGATGAGAATCTACTGTACAGCTTGGGGATGTATATGGAGGACTGGAGGAAAAAGCCACTTCCAAGTCATAGGAACATATACAGTCGACTCTCATTCCCTGGAGTGATGTTCTACAAAGTCACCACAAACACTCAGTTAGCTCATACTGAACCACGACTCTCAGGTGTAATATAGGGCTCAGTTCCAGGGAGACTCTGGTCCCCGTATTTTCATCAGCCAATCAGTATATTTCTGTGTGTTTTGGTTTAAAGACTCCTTACTGAGTAGATATTGTGATTCATTCGCATTGGACTCATGGCCAACAGCGCTAGAATTCCTGTCTGGATGAAGCCAATCTAACACACCTATTTTCTCTGTAAGGCACATCGCAAGCTTCTTGCCCTTGGAAACAGGGAACAGCCCTTCAGGACTACAGTTGGGAGCCATCTGAAGTAGCAAAGTCACCAACAAAAAGCAAACAAAACTATAAAAACGTGGCCACTAAAGAGACCGTGAAGAGGACACATGTTTATAGTCTGAGAGATGAAATTGTAGGCACAGGGTTACGTCATCCAACCTTAGTTGAGAACATGCATGTCAGGCGACTAATATTTTTACTGCTGTTCAAATGAGTACAAAGGCACTGCAAGTTTTGATTTTTGGGGTTACAGATACGTTTTAGCAAGTGAATGAATTCATAAATATGGAATCCATGAATCATGCAGAACAATTCTATCAGACTTTTAAGATGACAATATAAAGGTATCACGCCCTAAATCTCACATGATATTGTGGAATACAGGGACACATATAACTAAGGTTAGAGTTACTGTGTTACCTTTGATTTAGGATGGCATTTATTTTAATTTTATCTTAATTATTTAGTTGTATATCTCACTCTTCTACTAAAATGTAAATTCTTTAAGGGAAGTGCGGGTGTCTTTTTTTCTCTCTCTTGGCATCTGGATAGAATTTGGTGTATAGGAGCTGCTCAAGAAAATCCCCCTTTGAAAGCACAGACTCTTTTCCCCTTCTGCTTGCTCTCCAGCCTGTATCACTGGGAATCATTTGGTGGGTCACATATCTGACTTTTAACCCCCAATATGCATTGGTCTCACCTCTGAATATTCCATTCCATCCCCCCAGCTGGCCACGTTCGTCCCTTGCCTCCAAATGTCCTCCGTGATCAGAGGTAAAATACGTGAATGTCGTGTTTTTCAAACCGTTTACTTCAACGGCTTTAAGGATTTCACCTTTAAGAGAAATAGAACAATTCAGGACAGAGCCAATGAAACAGCATCAGTGAATTCAACCCAAATTTGCCCTTTCTTGCTAGAAAGTCCCATAAGGGGACTCTGCACTCACCAGGAGACTGTCGTTATGAATGTGATCACAAAGTGTGAACCCCTGTCTGATTTTCCGGATACCACAGGATTCAGAATCTTGTTTACAGAGGTATCACTAGTGATCATTAGTGATACTAATACGGAAAACAGAATAAATGCCTAAAGCCAATATGCCAGCAATGGAGTGTTCTGAATGGGCACTGTTGGCATGTATACGTGTGTCCATAATGAGTGCATGGGGGTGGGAACGTGGTGAGAAAGGGTTTGATGGGACAACCCCGTTGAGACGGGAGGAAGCCAGAGCTGTGAGCATCCATGTGTGGGTGTTGGCACATGGGGGCCAAGGCTCAGGAGAGCCGAGCCATCTACAAGCCAAGCACTCGCTTTATCTACGGAGACCAAATGCACATCTAAAGCACTGAAAGTAAAGATTTTACACCACTCGGGCGTGTACAGCAGTGGAAATGCATGTTTTTAAAGGATGATGTAATCTACCCTCCCGTTTTGGGGTTGTTTGCTTCTTTACTTGGTCTACTGTAGCCCTATGCTTCTCCCAGGATGAGCCCTTGGATCCTGCAAGGATTTAGATGTCTACATTCTTTTAAGAATCTATATACACTTGAAACTAAGGTAACACTATGTATCAACTATACTTCAGTGTGAAAAAAACAATCTATAATCTCGCTGGATCTCTCCAGGTTTTCTCCAGGCCGTAGTGAAGTTGGTCTGTTGCCCTGAATGATAGAGTTCTTGCTTCACTTTCTGCAATGTCTCATGATGGCTTTATTATTTTTTTTAAGATTTTATTTATTTATTTGAGAGAGAGCGAGCACAAAGATGGGGGAGGAGCAGAGGGAGAGGGAGAAGCAGACTCCCCACTGAGCAGGGAGCCCAATGTGGGGCTCGATCCCAGGACCCGAGCTCATGACCTGAGCCCAAGGCAGATGCTTCACCGACTGAGCCACCCAGGTGCCCCTCATGATGGCTTTAAATAATACACTTTGTAGGATGATTTTGTGCAGAAGTAGGCTGAGGGACCAGAAGTGCTGAAGGAGCACATGAATGATATGGGAAACTTTCTCCCTATTCTTTGCCTTTTCTCTTATTCTTTATTGCAGCTTGGTTCATAGTGAGGTGGCCCATCTGTTACCAAAGTTCAGTGGTGAGACTAAATGAAGCACGGCTGCGCCTTGACTTACCTACAAGCCAATCCATCTCCTCCACGTTGTCGCCATATAAGCCGTGCTGGCTTTTTCCAAGAAACTGTTTTGTAGTTACCAGGGGAATGTGTACATGCAGCAAGGACACGAACAGAAGGAATGGCCTGTGCCTATTTCTGAGAGAAGAAAAGCATCCTTCAGACACGATAACACCTGTATTTGATCCTGTTTCAACAGTATTTGATCCATTTGAGTCCTTGAAAGTCATCTCCCCATCAGGGCTGGTTTAAGAAATTCCAAAGATGATAAAGAGACTTAGGTGCTATGAGAACTCACCTCCTCTTTAAAAGTGGGATTACCTTTCAATATAGGAAATTGCCTCGTGTAGCATGAGACTCGCCGCTCTTTCCAAAACCATGGGCTGCTCTGTGACGTCATGGTTTCTCATCAGGATACAGTTCCAACGACGCACAAACCCAAAGCTGGCGTACCAGGAGACAAAGAAGAGGAAGACGACACTAGCTGCGCCCAGGACTACCTTCCAGGACACAGAGATTAACCCCCAAGTCTTGCCAACAGCAACAGTCAGGACCCCCAGTGCCGCCATCTGCGTGTAATGCCACAGCCTGCTTCTAGTCGCGGCGTCCAGTCCCGGGGCCCTGCCTGGCTGACAGTCATTCACAAGCGTGAAAGGCATGCCATAAAAATAGTCAAATCCGTGGTTCAGTGGGTGGTGGCAGTGGTCGGTGCGGGATTCACAGTTCACACCCTGGTGCCATTTTCCTGAAAATAAGAGCAAGAAGTTAAACAAGAAGACGCATGGAAGGCACTCTGTCTGATACCAATCACCTCAATAATTTGGATGCTCCAATGAAAATGAAGGTATGCAAACAGCAAAGTCTGAAATAGAAAAGGAACATGATATAAATTGGAGATAGAAAGGAATAAAATGAATGTGTTTGATACTGGTGTGTTTTTAAATGGTTACCCTGCACTTTGCAAATACTGAACAAACGGATGGAGGTCATGATCGTTATCAAGAGATTAAAGGTTTAAAGAAAAAGATTAAAGGTTTAAGGTTTTCTGGACTGTCGGGAATTAGAAGTTTGCAACCCTACACTATTCTGCCATTAAATCACTCAGAAAATATCACTTACGATATTTCTTACTTAAAAGACAACTACTTGATAACAGGAGCTGGCTCTAGAATAATCTTATGATACAGCAGAAGGAAGTGACTCACTCCACTAACTAGTAAGCAAGAATTGCTTATAATAGATTTTTTCCAAAGGCAGTAATTTTATAATATCATTGAGATGGAACATGAGGAAGCCCATATATCAAATTCTGGCAGGATATACAAGAATTGGGTTATCTCCAGATGCTCAGCCAGCTTTAATTTAGCTACAAGATAGAACAGGAAAGGGTCCAAGGTACTATTGGCCATAATTTCCCAAGTGCAGAGGTTAAACTGGGTCCCGCCCTGCTCTTCCCTCCCTTTACTCACAAAGCGTCTTCAGAACTTGTAGGACTGGTTTTAGTTCCAAGCCCAGGGACATTCCTTTATATGCCTGCTTACATTTAAGAAGTGAAAATGCTGAGATGGGGTGAGATAGGTGGAGAAGAAAAGCATACAGGACGGTCTCCATCTTGTCCACTTTCTACCATGTGGAATGTGAAGAACAGCCTTGTCTGAATATAGATGGGGTGTGTGAACCAGAAGAATAAAATTTCACAGAACAAACCGATACACAGGTCTGCAAGTCCAGTAAACACAAAATAAACCTACTCACCTAATTTTAAACACGATTCCACCCACAGAGTAGGAGATACCGGGGTAGTTGTGGGGTCAAGGACATTGACCCAATGGCGGTGAGTTGGTAATGGAAAGTTCCAGTCAATTTGGGTGGCTAAGAAGCTTTGCTCTACTTCTTCGGATTAAAAAGAGAAATATAGGTGATAGAGCAGATGTGTACAAAGTCCTTGAAAATGTCTTTGAAAATGGGATATGCTATATTCTGAATTTCTGTGTCTTCCCAAAATTCCTATGTTGAGACCTGACCCTGAGGTTGATGGAAATTGGAGGTGGGACCTTGGAGATGAGAGCAGATCCTCAGGGTGGAGCCCCCATGAATGGGATTAGTGCCCCAGAGAGATCCTCACCCCTTCTTCTCACATGTGAGGACACAGAGAGAAGACAGTCATCTGTGAGGCAGGATGAGGGTCCTCACCAGACACGGAATCTGGATCTTGGACTTCTCAGCCTCCAGCTCTGTGGGAAGTAAATCTACATAATCTCTATTTCGAAAGTAGCAGGACATTTTAAAAGGGTTAAGGGTGATTTCCCACACCTCCAGCCAATCACCGCTCTGACAAAGTGGGGGTGTCATAGTCCCTTCTGAACTCAACAGTGACTCTGAGTGTGGAAGAGCTGGTGAGGAATCAAATGGGACCCCCTGCACACAGACCCGACCCAGCCCTCCCTTGACCGAGGGGTTGGGGAAGACGCCCTCGTCATCTCGCCTCTGATTCCTCTAAGACGAGATACCACTTCTAAACACACAGGCTGAAGCAAGGAACGAAAGCGGTCACAAGCATGTGGTCCATGACAGGTGGGCGCCCATCTGTTCAGAAGTCACCTAGCAGGTGTCAGAGTACTGTTCTCAGACAGGTGGTCTTACAAGGTTGGCCCTTGCTAATGATGTGTGACAATCGGCTCTCCAGAGGATTCCCATCATTCCCTAAATAGTAAGTGTGGCTCCGTGTCTAAAATGTTTGCACAATGTGGTTTTGCTGAACACCCGCTTTCCTTATGGAGGCTGGACTTTTGGGGGGTGCCAGGCAGCGGGTGCCTATGAGACCAGCCCCTAATACAAAGCCTGGGAATGGAAGGAAAGAGGCAAATCTCGCAAGATGTTGAATTAAAATTGCTTGTCAATGACAGAAGTTCCAACAATGTGACCAATCCAAGAGAGATCAGACGGGGTCAGCACCCTATTTTGGTTCTGACATGCGATGTTTTTGCCTTGTTGGGAAACAGGTGCTTTTGATGGTTGATTCTCCATCCCCCTGAACCATATGAGTACCTATGAGGCCGGTGGCATAACCCTGCTGCTGCAGGATTCTCGCAAACGTGGTTTCATTCACGGGGAGTCCGCCCGATCCCCCGTTCCACTGGAGGACACGGTACCCATCATCAGCATCCATGCCTGTGGAGCAGAGCAGAGAGCAAGCACTCACTCTCCCTTGACTACAGCAGGGGTTCTTGCCTGGGGAGGAACGTGGCCCACACCAGGAGACTCTTCACCCTGTCTGGGGTTGGTTTGGGTTGTCACAATTGCAGGAGGGGTTCTACTGGCACCTAGTAGGGGAAACACCCTACGGTGCCCAGGATGCCCCTACCACAGAGAATCATCCAGCCCAAATGTCAGCAGTGCTGAGGTTGAGAAACCCTGCCTTGGCATGAGAGATTCTGTCTGTTTCTCTCTCTATCATCCATCCATCCATTTATCCATCCATCCATCCATCCATCCATCCATCCATCCATCCATCCATCTATTCATCTATCATGTATCTATCTATTATCTCTACCCATCCATCCACCCATCCATCCATCCACCCACCCACCATCTATTCATCTATCATCTATCCACCTATCTATGCATCTATCAATCTATTAATCTATCATCTATCAATCTATTATCTATCTATCTTTCTATCTATCTATCTATCTATCTATCTATCTATCTATCTATCTATCTATCATCTATCTATCATCTATCTATCTATCCATCTATCTCTATCTATCTCTATCTTCTATCCATGATCTATCTATGAAATGGTTCCCAACCAAAGGTAATTCTGCCCCCCAAGGAACATTTGGCAATGCATGGAGACATTTTTGGTTGTCACAACTCGGTGGGGAGAGTGGCTGCTACTAGCACCTTGCACATAGAGACCTGACCCCCAGCACCTCAGAACGTGACTGTGTTTGAAGATAGGGTCTTTAAAGAGGTAAAAATGAGGTCATCGGGATGGGCTCTGATCCCATAGGACTGGGGTCCTTATAAGAAGAGGAGCTGAGGACACAGACAGTCATAGAGGGACGACCGTGTGAGGACAGAGGGAGGAGGCAGAGTCCACATGCCATGGAGAGAGGCTTCAGGAGGAACCAGCCTTGCCCACGCCTGGATCTCAGACTCCCAGCCTCCCAGATGATCAGAAAATTAATCTCTGTTGTTTAGGCTGGTCCTTCTGTGGTATTACGTACGGCAGCTCAGACAGACTAAGACAACAGTATTCCAATATGTGAATGTGCCAGTTTATTAACCCACTCTTCCACTGATGAACTGTGTCCGTGTTTGCACCGTACAAACAGTGCTGCTGTGAACGTTCTCATTCCATCTTTTGTAGAACGTGCATGTGTGTACATGTTGGGCACCTACTTAGGAATTGCTGGGTCACAGGGTGTGCATGCATTCAGCTCAAGCAGACACTGACAAACAAATCAGGGCCCCCTCCTGCAGCCTCACAGTGCACCTCACCAACCTGTTCCTTGTCCCTCTCCGACTCTGACCCTAATGCTTTCCCCTTAGAAGGACCTTTGTGATGACACTGGGCCACTTGGATAATCCAGGATAACATTCCCATCTGAAGATCCTTCACCTAAAATCCCATCTTCAAAGTCCCCTTTGCCATATAAGGAAACATTCACCCATTCCGGGAATTAGGATGTGGGATCTTTGGGGACCATCATTCAGCTCCCTACATGCTCTCAGAGCCTGTCTGAAATCATGACTACACACCAAGACCGACTAAAATATTTAAACAAAGAAACACAATGTCAACCATAACCAGCTACCCTTGGAGAGTTCCAGGCTCTGAATTCCCAGTCAACCAAATCATCGCATGACTACCTAAAACACAGGATTCTTTATGTCAGTTCTAGGTGATGTCACCACAGATTATATCTGCACCATTTTCCCTGGATCTCAACCATCGCTAATGATATTAAGGACAAGTAATGAGTGGACACAGACATGCCCCTTTATCAGTCATCCCCACAACACTGACCGGATCTGAAGGAGTGCCTCCCCGTGAGGAAGGAAGATCTGCTGGGGGTGCAGAGGGGGGCGGCCGCCAGGTGCTGGGTGAGCCTCACACCTTCCTCTGCAAGCTGGTCGATGTTGGGTGTCCTGCGCAAACCACACACAAACGTCCCCGTCAAGACGGTGCTTTATGGGGATCCCTGCACCAAAAGGCATGGCACGGAGTACATGAGTATTTCTTGAGGGTTTTGTAATTAGTTGCATATGGTGTCTTGCAGAGGCAGATGGACCCACCCCCAAAACAACCAGCATGAGCACAGGTACTGAGGACCACTTGCTGCAAAAGGTGCTGAGCCCTCCTCCCCGGTCCGGGACTGCAGCCCAGCCCACTGCGTGCACAGCCACCATCTCAGCCCACCGCATCACCCAAAGGTCTTGGTGGCCAGGAACAAGCTTCCCTTGATGCTCTTGCTGTGTGTACCAATAAGAGTTGTGCACCATCTTGCTCCTGCGTCTGCTTTTGTCAGCCAGGAAGCTGTGGCCAGGAAGGTGGGTCTTTTAGAGCTTGCTACTCTTTGCTCTTCTTGAGCATGCTCTATCTCACAAACGGGAAACGGTCTTCCCAATCGAATGGGGAAGGAGTGCCCCTTTCCTGCCTACACCATCAGGTTTCCATGTGAAAGGATTAACTAGTAGAGAGCAAGTGGATTAAAGAGAGACAGGAAGACATGAAGACCCAAGCCACTGGCTGGCATGTTTATATTGGCTGGAATAGAATCTTTGAGAGCCGATACCTAAAACTTCCTTACTGGGCAGGTGGTCCAATGGCCCCACGGTTAAAGGGATCTTTGGAGGTGACTTGAGGCATGCGTGGAAGGCTTCTTTGCTGAGTATGAGTGTTGGTGGAGGGCGCTGAGGGAGCTGAGTGGTCCACAACCATCATCTACCGGGCGGAAGAGCCTCTAAGTGTCCCTGTTCTCCCAGAGCACGCAGAAGTGACCGTGGCTTTGTTGAGGGTCTGGGCAGCCCCAGGCTGAGTCATAGCGCTAGTGGATGCTATTTTCTTGGACACAAGCCACTTCCAAATCCCTGTGACCCAAACTGCTTGCTAGTGGAAGGATGCCAGGTGTCCTAGAGGGTCCCTGTCCATAAGTTTTATGGAGAGAGGATAGAAATAAGATGAATCCTGAAGGAGCTATAGGCCAAATGAAGGACTTCTAGGAGCCAGTGGGCATCCCAAAGCCTTACTGCGGGTTTTGGGGTTCAAGATCTTTCAGACGCATCAAGACCACGGCCAAGACAATTCTCCAAACGTTGTGGTAAATACCTTTCTTACTAACTCATATGGCATTGCCAATTTTGAAGAACACATTTTTAGTTTTAATTTTTGCTTTTGTTTTGATCCCTCTGAGTGAACATAGTATATGTTGTCTGAAAAAAAAAGAAAAATTACGTGTATTCTTCAAAGTCCTCGAAGCTGGTTAAGCACAGACGTCATGGGCAGAAGGAAAGTGTTCAAAAGGTGTTTGGTGTAAATGCATGGAGGTCACTAAGTAGGTTCTGAGTTAGTGTAGTAATAGAATAATAGAACACCTTTGGAGATTATTAAAGTGAAAAGCTGCATTTTTGGAATCCCTGTGTTATCTTTCATCCCAACGATTTCTTAGTCATCGGAGTGATCTCCCCATTTGCGAGGAGGCAAGCAAAGTTGGGAGATTGAGCCACTTGTCCGTCCCTGGAGCTGGGAAGTGCCAAAGGAGGGTTTAATACCTCCTTAAGTCACACCTTATCCGTGTGACTTAAAAAACCCACCGAGTGTGGCATTCTGGGGGTTGTGGCTCAAGCACCTCTATCCTCAGGCTCCCATCTTCCATTAATCATAGATTTTCCGATAGTTGACGACCACCCATCCACTTTGTGACCACTAAAGCTTTTTTTCTGATGGCTTTGTTTCTATTTAAAGAGAGAGAGTGCCCTTCTCCCTCTTGTTTGCAAGCTATTGTCTGTACTCATTCAGCTGTGGCTTCCAGGCCCCTCCTGCATGCCCAGAAACCACAGCTGAAGCTACTATTTCAGATACCTGCTCCTCCAGGCAGCTGCTGGGGCCCTGCCACGCCTCTGTTTTTGGAGAATAGCCGTGTCAGTCAAGACTGTTCTGGCCACTTTGGTCACCTTTGACTCTTCTTAAAATTGCAACCAACCGAAATAGAAATGCTGTTATTAAAAATCACCCATTCTGTACTCATGCTGGTTGTTTTCAATAACCCAACTGTAAAAATTTACTTTTTTTTTTTTTGACTAAACTATGAACATGAATTGCAAGGGCTTATAGGATTCTACTAATTAACCATAATTATATTAGCTCTGACCTATTTTTCAGTTTACAAAAGTTCTATCTCGTTGGATATGCAATAGTCCATCTATTATTTACCAATCTATCTATCATCTATCTACACATCCTTCCATCCATCTTCCCATCCATCCATTCCTTCACTTATCTATTCACCCCTCTTTCCATGCTTCCTTCCATCCATCCATCCATCCCTCCATCCATCTTTCCATCCTTCCTTCCATCCTTCCTTCCATCTTTCCTTCATCTTTCCATCCATCCATCCATCCATTCATCCATCCTTCCTTCATTCCTTCCATCTTTCTATCCTTCCTTCCTTCCTTTCTTCCTTCCTTCCTTCCATCTTTCCATCCATCCATCCATCCATCCATTTATCCATCCATCCACCCATCCTTCCTTCCTTCCTTCCATCTTTCCATCCATCCATCCACCCATCCATCCATCCATTTATCCTTCCTTCCTTCCTTCCTTCCATCTTTCCATCCATCCATCCACCCATCCATCCATCCATTTATCCTTCCTTCCTTCCTTCCTTCCTTCCTTTCTTCCTTCCTTCCTTCCTTCCTCTTCCTTCCTTCCATCTTTCCATCCATCCATCCATCCATCCATTTATCCATCCATCCACCCATCCATCCTTCCTTCTTTCCTTCCTCCCTTCCTTCCTTTCTTCCTTCCTTCCTTCCTTCATCTTTCCATCCATCCATCCATCCATTTATCCTTCCTTCCTTCCTTCCTTCCTTCCTTCCTTTCTTCCTTCCTTCCATCTTTCCATCCATCCATCCATCCATCCATTTATCCTTCCTTCCTTCCTTCCTTCCATCTTTCCATCCATCCATCCATCCCTCCATCCATCTTTCTATCCTTCCTTCCTTCATTCCTTCCTTCCTTCCTTCCATCTTTCCATCCATCCATCCATCCATTTATCCTTCCTTCCTTCCTTTCTTCCTTCCTTCCTTCCTTCCATCTTTCCATCCATCCATCCATCCATCCATTTATCCATCCATCCACCCATCCATCCATCCATTTATCCTTCCTTCCTTCCTTTCTTCCTTCCTTCCTTCCATCTTTCCATCCATCCATCCATCCATCCATCCATTTATCCATCCACCCATCCTTCCTTCCTTCCTTCCTTTCATCTTTCCATCCACCCATCCATCCATCCATTTGTCCTTCCTTCCTTCCATCTTTCCATCCATCCATCCATCCATCCATTTATCCATCCATCCACCCATCCTTCCTTCCTTCCTTTCTTCCTTCCTTCCATCTTTCCATCCATCCATCCACCCATCCATCCATCCATTTATCCTTCCTTCCTTCCTTCCTTCCTTTCTTCCTTCCTTCCTTCCTTCCTCTTCCTTCCTTCCATCTTTCCATCCATCCATCCATCCATTTATCCATCCATCCACCCATCCATCCTTCCTTCTTTCCTTCCTCCCTTCCTTCCTTCCTTTCTTCCTTCCTTCCTTCCTTCCATCTTTCCATCCATCCATCCACCCACCCATCCATCCATTTATCCTTCCTTCCTTCCTTCCTTCCATCTTTCCATCCATCCATCCATCCACCCATCCATCCATTTATCCTTCCTTCCTTCCTTCCTTCCATCTTTCCATCCATCCATCCATCCATCCATTTGCCTGTCTAGCTATCTATCTCTCTTCTTTCCAGTATTTATCTCTTACAGATGTCTTCATGATTATCTACATTGTGGAACAGAATGAAAAACAGCACAGCTTTCAACCTCAGCATCGAAATCTTCTGCAGAATCTCATTACTCTACTTGTTAAAAGATACCTTAAAACAGGAAAAATGCTACTGATTTTAAATTCTGTGCTTCTCAATCAATTTATGTTATTTCCTTCTTTCCCTAACCAAGTTGATTGGCAAATATAATCTTAAAATATTACTCTCAAGTGCCCTTCATTTTTTATGCATTCTTTTCCTTTTAAATAACCCTCTGGCCTGTGGGATCAGATATTTTCATTTTAACAACAGACAGAAAGTATGAGAGTGTCTGAGAATGATAGAAATATGCTGAGAAACAGCTCAGTGACTCTCATGAAAGGAATGGAGGGGCAGGGCATGTATGAGATTTTCCTGAAAGAAGAGATATCTTTTCTTCCTATTATGCTAATAAAACGAGCAGGTTTCACATGTATTTACAGACTTGTCTCCGTCATTAACACATGTCTGGTGTGGCTTTGCTGTTAGAGCATCAGGGAGTCACTTCTATGTTTTGCATCATGGACCCAGAAGGAAACATGGAGATCATCCAATGGCCTTATATCAAGAGGGGAAACTGAGGCTGGATGTGTGACTGATGTCACAGCTATTCAGAAGCAGGGTTGGGGCCACAGAGGCAGTCCCGGGGCTCCCTCTTCTGTCCTGACTTCCTGTTCCCCTGACCCTTGGTAACTACACATTCATTACACACCTCATGGGTTCTCAACTTCCATTTCTTACGAGGCCACATATGAAAGACAGACCTGGTGTGGCCCACATGTGGGACCAGAGTGATTGGCAAACAAGGATGTCTGACCTGATTTCGAACACAAGCGCCTTCTAGCATATTTAGGCATGCACAGTGAATACCGTGGTTGCTGGAGAGAATTCTACGGGACGGCTTACTAGTGAAGCTTCACTTACTATGTGCTAAAGGAGTCGGAACAATTTCATAGCAAATCTCCTAAGGATGAAGGGAAGGAGGCCTTACAGCATGTGCAGCCAATTCCCCTGGAAAGCAAAGACAGTTTCTCTAAACCGGGTGGTTCTTAAACCCAAGTTAAGTCTTCTACTTGTCAGCCTTGATAGCTTACTTGGGCAGAATTGTTAAACGGGGTGTGCCGTGCTCGCGTTGGGGTGGGTGGACATGCAGTGGAAACATTTTGAAGACCAGGGAAGTGTGGTAGGTTTGTGCAGAATGCCCACATTCCTTATAGGCGGATCGCGAGGGGTATGGCCCCCACGTCTGTAAGGGGCGCCCTGCAACCCATGTGGCCTGTTGGCTCAATGTCTTCATCAATGAGTCAATGCATTAAATTAAGAGAATATCTCTGCCGGCTTTAGGATGCCCCCAAAGACCCTCCTTCCACTCGGCCTATATTTTAGTTGGAAGGCGAAACACTGTACATAAAAATAGTAATAATAGTAATCATGGGTGCTGCCCCCTAGCGGTGGTATTGGGCATGCAATCCCAGTTTCTTAATTTCTCAGTGGCTTACGTTTTCTTAACCCAAAGCGGCAGGTCCCAAACGGTCCTGAGGGGTTAGGAATTCATGATCCGAATCCCGGAGGACACGATTCAGTCCATTACAGGGAGAGATGGCTCGGAGACGGCACGGCGTTCTCTTGGGGTGTGAAAATATTCTAAAATGCACCGCGGTGATGGATGCACTTCTCTGAAGATACCAGAAGCCAATGAATTGCCCAGTTTCACTGGCTGAATGGTCTGTTCTGGCAAGTATAACTGGGCAGGCTCAGCGTGGGGAAGGAAGATCCCTGCATACACAGGGCAGAGTTCTGCTGCAGTTGGGAAGACTGCAACCAAGGGGGGTGGGCACGGGTCTCTGTAGGCCAGTCCCAAGGTGGGCAGCTACTGCAAGGCAGATTGTGTGATGCTGGGGTGGTGGTCTTCCTAAAAGAAAGGGAATGAGGTGATTTTCTTCCTTTTCTCCTCTTGTTGCATAGACCACGCAAACATCATCGTCCACATGTTTTCCAGCAGGGATGGGGTAGAAGCCTGCGCACTGTGAATACACACTAAGCTCCCCATGTGGGTGAATAGCAGCCCCAGGGGCAGAGCTGCTATGTCCTAATTCCCAGTATTTGTGAACAGGACCTGTGACTTGGAAACGGGGTCTTTACAGGTGTAATTATTTAAGGATCTGAGATGAGCTCATCCTGGATCGGGGTGGCCCTAAATCCAAGGACAGGTGTCCTTGTAAGAGACAGAAGAGGAGACACGGACCAGAAGAGAAGCCACGTGAGGACGGAGCCAGAGATGGGAGGGACGTGGCCACGAGCCCAGGGACTCCTGGAGCCCCAGAAGCTGGAAGAAGCAGGAAGGACCCTCCCCTGGAGCCTTGGGAGGGAGCATGGTCCTGCCCTACCTGGATCTCAGCAGCCCTGCCCCGCCTGGATCTCAGACTTCTGGTCTCCAGGACTGAAACGGAAGAAATTCCTGTTGTCTAAAGTTACTCCATTTGAGGTCCTTTGTTCAGGCAGCCCTAAGAAAGGAATACACCCACCCACCAGAGTGCTGCGTTGTTTGAACATTTCAGTTTAGGACCCTGCTTCCCGAACAAAAAATAATTTCTTGGGTGTTCAGATCTGATGCGCTAAGGAATTTCCCACTACAGGCAGATTTTAAATGCATCATTCAGCCAGATGCAGCCCCTTACACACATACACACACACACACACACACACACACAGCACCAGGACCCCCACCATCACCAGGACATTATACCTGAGCGTATCGTTCCCATAGCAACCAAGATCCCCAATGCCAAGATCGTCTGCCATTATCAGTAGAATATTGGGTTTAAAGGCATTTGCAGCTTTTAACTCGGAAGTCCTCGAGAGCAAACATAGGAGGAGTAGAACCGACAAAGAGTCCCTGGAGAGAAAAACAAAAAGGCCAAAATTAACGTCGACGATTTAGGGAATGGTCAGTCGGTATTTCAAAGCGGCTTGCTGGGAAGGCACATGCATTTGCCCTAAATGGGGTTTACCAAGGGGTCCCATCTAGGTGCTGGTTCCTTTTGTTCTGACTGCTCGCATACTAACACGCGGAGCAGAAAACGGGAACGCGCGAGGATTTTGCCCAGGTACCTCCTCCCCTCCCCTTGGTCATTAATCCTGCTACCTGTGTGGGGAGCTCCCTAAAGGGCAGGGTCAGAGGGCTGAGCGCTTGCCTTCCGGGCCGCGCCTTCCTCCCTTTCCCGGTGCAAAGGCGGCCAGAGCGCGCCTTCCGTCCCCGGAGCGACCGCACAGGAGGGAGGCGGACCCAGAGGGCTGGAGCAGCGGGAGACATGCATTTTAAGGAAGAATGTGGGATTCAAAGCACCCCAGCCGCGACAGGGAGACGCGGCACTGCTGGTGTGACCCAGGAGTGACAACACGGGCTTGCAGCGCGCGTTGCCAGCGAGGCCGGGGCTCACCCGCGACCGCGCGGGACAAGGGATCTGGGGCGTCCCGGACGCGGATCCCCGGCCCTGCCTGCCCCATAAAGCGGAGGGACGCGGGGCCTGGAGCGCCCTGATCCTCATTCCTGGCTCCTGGCTGGCAGCTCGAGCGTGCCCCGGGGTCCCCCAGCAGGGCCCCCAGCGCTGTCCGGCCCTCTGATTGCGCCCTGGTGCGCCAGCAGTCCGGAGCAGGGGCACAGGGGCTGGAAAGGCCCGGCGGGACAGGGCCTAGGTGGAGCGTTAAGGGGGTGGCCGCATTCCGGGCGGGGAGCGGGCCTGGTGCGTCTTAGAGGGCGGTGGGGAAGAGTGGGACGGGGCACCGCCGCTCTCCGGCGAGGGGGTCTTGGGGGACTGGCCATGTTTTTAGGATTGGGGTCAAGGCTCCGCTCGGGCTTGGGGACCGGGCCAGGCAGGGGCGGGGCCGTGCAAGGAGGAAGAGGCGCGCTCCGGGAGGCGGGGAACCAGCGCCTGGACCGGACGTGTCTCAGAGTGGGGGAGGGTGCGGCCGTGCTGGGATGGGGGCGGGGAACGGAACAAACGGGGGATGGGGGAAGGAAAGGAGCGGGGGTGGGGGAACGCGTGCTAGAGAGGGAGACGCCGCCGCGCTGTTGGGGGGTACGGAGTCAAGGCGGGGACCGGGCGTGTGGTAGAGACTGGGGTTTGCGGACACGGCCGCGCTCCGGGGGTGGGGGGCTGAGAGCACGTGCTAGGGGGCCACGCCGCAGCGCTATGAGGGGGAGAGTGTTTTGGGGGCATGTCCTGCTCGTGGGGGCTACTCGGGGCGAGGGAGCGCGTCCTACGCAGTGGGGGATGGGGACCAGGCCTCGTTCTGCCGGGGCGTGGCCTCCGAGCACCAGCCTGGCGGTTCCCCTTCCGCTGGCCGCCCCCCCTTCCCTCCGTCGGCCTCCTCTGCCCTCCCCTCCAACGTCAGCTCTCCGGTCCCGCGTCCCTCCGACTGCGAGACAGACGTCTAGCCGTGTTCTGGTAACTCCAAGGCGTACACACCGCCCGCGCGTCCCGGAGGCCACTCTCGCCCAGTGTGCACCTCCCCAAGCCCCCATCCCCGTCCCGAGTGGGGGACGCGTCCTCGGGCCCCGCGCACCTGGCAGCGGGCGCGCTGCATCCCCTCGGAGCCCTGGGTCCCATGGCCGCGCGCGGGCCGGGCGCGCAGGACCTTGTCCCCAGCGCCAGGTGCCCGGACCCGCCCACGCAGCGGAGCCCTGCCGGCGGGAGGGCCCTGTCCCGCCCCCATCCGTTTAATGTCCTGTCGCCCCAGGCCTTCCGGGAATTGATCTTTCCGAGTCCCAGTCACCTCCGGGCGGGCACTCCCGGGATACCGGGGTGGAGGAGAAGATGCTAAATCCCGGCTGGGTCTGCGCTCGGGGAACCCCAGCAGCCCTCGGCCGGGGAGCTCCCTTTTCCAGCAAGCTCTCGAAAGGTCTGGGGACTGGCCGCGTGCAAGCAGGCTGCCTGGATGCGAATTGTTTCACTAGGGTCCAGGATGCCAGCCCCCTTCTCTATGGCCAAGGTGGGGGCAGGGGTTAGATGTGACCTAGGCTAGTTAGACCCGCACCCAGGGACTTGACATCGGGGGTCTACCTGGTAGTCATATCCACGTCCTCGACCCCATTAGCTGCCCCGAGTTCTCTTTTTCCCTTTCCAACTCAGTTCTGCATTTGGGGGAGATAGTAATTGCGAATTAAGGCTTGCCAAAAGCTTGGGGGTTGGGGTAGGTTGCCTTAACTCTCCTGGGGGTGTTTCTTGAAAACTCATTTCTGAAGGATCTGTTCAGAGAAAAGACCTTTTTGCCTTTGATTTGCCAGAGGTAGTTAGCTCACCTTTCCTGAGAGGCCTCCGGAGAAGCCCACCCTGTCCATGCCTTGATCTCGGACTTCCCCCATCCAGAGCTTTGAAGGAATAAATTTACGGGGTTAAAGCTACTGCCTTGGTGGTTGTTATGGTGGCCTCAGCAGAGTGATAGTGGTGGGGTGCAGGGGTGCGTGTGTGCAGAGAGGGGGACTTGGGTGCGGGGTCTGGAATAAAATCCCCGTCCTGCTGGTGTCCCATCCTGGGCATGTCCAGTGCAAAGCCAGTGGACCTGGGAGCTTGGTCTTCATGCAGTGACCTCCCAATTCAGAGCGGAAGAACACTGAATACCCAGCACAGCCCCCAAATTCTGGGTTTCCCTAAATCTCTAGGGCATCCATTCACTGAGACTAATCGCTTGAAAAGAGTTAATAAACCTACACTCTTTAAATTGGCCCCTGTCACACCTTTTCAGGGCTACTTATACTTGGTGCTCACCCGGCCTTTGTCTGCAAATCCATTTGGTACAGAAATACTCTCCACTGGGACTGTGAATTCTGGATGGGGTCAGAACAGCCTCCTCCAGGTGGGGCTGGAGTCCAGTGATGGAAATCCCCATGGCTGGAGGGGCTTTACTCCTCACTTCATTGTTGGGGGGCAGGGGGCCTGAACAATCCTTCAGTGGTTTGGTTTGCTTAGGGGTGACTGCACGCCGCTGCGTCTTCCTTATACCTTCTGTGTTTGGAAGTGCACATAAACAGACGACGACGACTGAACTTCACAGGGGAGTTGTATTTCGACCAGAAGTGCGGGGATCAGGGAAGGAGCCAGCTCTCCCTGGCAGGCAGTGATTCTGGGTCTCCCTCCCGATCACACCAGCAGAGGGGGAACCGGCCGCAGCAGGGCTGGAGCCAAGGTCTCCAGATGTTGCCCCACGTGTCCAGCTGCAGAGGAACCGGGCTGAGCGTCTGGCGATGCTCCTCCACGGCCCATGCGACTGTGTCCATCACCTGATAGAACAAGGGCTCCGTGTCCGGGGTGAGGGCGTGGGCTTCGGAAGGGTCTTTGGACAGGTCGAAGAGCAAAGGTGGGTCGTGATGGGCCACTTGGTCCCCGGAGCATGGGCAGACCCCTCTCCCGTAGCAGGCGCCGGCTCCCTCTGGGTGGAACACTGGGGTCATGTAGTGGACTTTCCATAGTCTTCCTCCTGAGGGAAGGACAAGAATCTCAGAGGGTTGATGTGGAGAAATAGAATGCATTGCTGGAGTGAAGCCCAAATGAATGGACAAACAGATGTGGTCCATCCACGCCATGGGATGAGATTCAGCCATAAAAATAAATAAAGCTCTGAGACCTGTGGATAAACCTCAAAAACGGGATGATCAGTGAGAGAAGCCAGACACACAAGGCCACAGAGTGCGGGATCCCATTTGTATGAGACATGCACAGCAGGGAAATCCATAGACCCAGAAAGGTCACGAGTGGATGCCAGAGGCTGGGTTGGAGAATGGGGAGTGAGTGCTAATGAGGACAGGGTCTCTTTGGGGGAAGGGAATGTGCTGGTACTAGATACAGGTGATGTTTGCACAACATGCTGAATATGCCAAATGCCCCAAAGTTGTACATTTTAAACGAGTGAATTTTACAGTGTGTGAATGTTATGGATGGAAATCGTGTCCCTCCAAAATTCATATATTACAGCCCTGACCCTCAACAGAATGGAATTGGGAGGTGGAGGCTTGGAGAGATTAATAGGTCACAACGACAGAGCCCTCAAAAATGGGATGAATGTCCTTACAAGAGTCAGAACAGAGCTTGCTTCCCTTGTGTGTCTCCACCATGTGAGGACACAGCAAGAAGGTGGTAGTCTACCGCCCAGCAGAAGCCCATCTAAGGATGTCCAGCCCCCAGAACTGGGAGAAATAAGTCTGTTGTTTGTAAGCCACCAGTCCCTGGTGATCTGCTGAGACTGAATTACAGCTCGGTACCACTGTTTGCAAAGAAGGGAATGCCTCAGGTCTTAGGTAGTTCCAAGCAGGATGCTCAGAGCCTTAAAATGGCAACAGCTTCCTCCTGAAGCTTGCTCCAAGGCTCCTGGCAGCTAGCTAGGAAGGCAGCTACAGGAAAACATCGATAGGAAAAGGAAGGGAAGGAAGAAAGGAAGGAGGAAGGGCGGAGCAAGCTATAGCAAACCACCTCCAGCCTCTGGGAGGGCACCAGACTGAGCTCTGCCTCAGGAAGGGACTTTGAAAGAATGGAAGGAGGGACCATGGAAGTCCCTGCACCAGCCTCCTGCCCAGAGTTGGGTTGTGCCAACCGCACAGCCTGTCCTCCCTGGCTTCTTGCTGCTTTGGGAGGGAGGCCTCCACGCCCATCCTTTGTATCCGCCACACGGCAGTGAGTCTGGGGAAGTCATGTGTGTAACCAGAGGGTAGAGAGCAGGATTCTGGTGGGCCTGCCTCCTCCAGGAGCAGCTCCAGGGTCAGAAAGACCAGGAAGCAGGGACAGATATGGGTCAGGATCAGGGCTGCTCCTGAGATCTAGGAAGGAGGCCAGGAAGCACAGCCCTGTGCACCTAGCAAGTGTGTGCAAAGGAGGGCATGCCTCCCTCCTTCCTACCCCCTGCCTGAGTCCTGCTTCCTGGGGTTGGCACCACTGTGCTTTAGTATTTACAGATGTGTACCCTGTGATTAAAATCTCTGGCTTCTGTCTGCCTCTGAGCACTTATGGTGACCTAGCAGTTCCCAGCTTGCTCACCTGTGACCTGGGGATAGCCATCTTCATCTGCCATTGTTCCCAGGGTGAAATGGAATACTATCCATCTCATGCTCATTAAGGTCACTCATTGCTATCATAATTCAGCAAATGTGTTGAGCACAAAGAAAAGACAAAGTCTTAGTGAGGGGAAACAGGCCCGACAGTGGTAAACACACAGAAATAAGAAAATTGTGCAGTGTGGAAGATGATGGTGAAGGTGTGAGTGTGGGGGGGCATGGGTGCACCATGGGGGCAATCGTTTGGGTCAAGAAAGCCTTGCTGAGAAGGTAATATTGCATTTGAATATCAAGAATGAGCCAGTCACGTGGAAGTCCTGTCCCCCTATGAGTGTTCTCAAAGATTTGGGGAGGGGCTAGCTCATAGGACAAGGAGGAATTTGGAGGAATTTGTTCTGATGTGTGTGCTGCCGGTGGTCTTGGGATGGCTTTCAGAAGGGAGCTAAGTGGATTATGTGTGTAGGATAAAGAGTGAATCTGTGAAGGCCAGTTAGGGTGCCACTGAAGAGGCTTGGATAATGGGAATACACTCCCCATCTACTCCCCTTGAAAAAATACAGAAGTATTCACCCAATGACTGACAGATGAGAGGTCAGTAATGGGGTAGCCACAATGTAAAAGCACAGATTTGAACACTGGACCCAGGTATTTGTGCTGCCAGGCATGCATGGATGTAGATTGAGATGTACAATGGAATGACAGTTTTTAGAAAACCCCCCAAAAGGGAAGGAAATGTGTAATACGTAATTTAAAAAAATGAAAGGTAGCAATAAAAGCCTTACCAGATTACAATAATATTGAAAAGAATGGATGAAAAGGGAGGGGCATTTAAAGAAAAAAAAAGTCAATGGTAGCTTCCTCAAATAATGGAGATCCCAAGAGGTATTTCTTCACTCTTGATTCAGAGGGCTAAAGACTTCTAGAGAATAGGAATGGAAAGATGAGTAAAATCACAGGGAGAATACAGCCCTTCCCAAACACTGGAGGAAAAAAGAATCACAAAACCTATGCAATCACAAAGTCACAAATCTAATCAATCCATAGGGCAAATCCAAAAGACAGGAGAAAATATCAGGAAACGACGGAGTAATAGGGAAATAGAAATGATGAAAAGTCACTCAAATAGGTGAAAACTTTGTTATCAGAAGATAAAGTTAGCAGCAGAAATCAGTTGTGTATAAAATTTAAAAATAACAGTTCTTAAGTAAATGCAAGAACTGAATTTTAAAAGAAAAATAATCCCTAAAAACAGAAAACCTCTGGGAATGACAGTTAGGTGAAGATGGACAATAGATTCATATAAACATGGAGGCAATTAAAATACAATGAAATTACTTGGGACAGGAACAATATGCTTGATGAAAGGAATACTTTTAAATAAGAAGAATAAGTGGAGGGACATAACATGTTTCAGTTGGGAAACTCTGATATTGTAAAGATAACCAATCTTTTTCCTGAGTTAATTTACACATGGGATGCAAAGCCAATTCAGATTCCCATGGGATTAAAAAAAGTCTTGCAAATGATTTTACAGCTCCTTTAAAAGGCCAGTTGGGCCAAAATAAC